ATGAATAGACTGAATTCTCCCATTAAAAGATAGGCTCTGATTTTTTTTTTTAAATAACACACTATCAGAAACTACCTAAAACTAACTTGGAAGAAAGGTTTACAAAAACGAAAGGGAAGGCAGAATAATACCAGGCAAAAAGCCAGTAGTATGACATGTCCAGACTTCAAAGTATACCAAAAAGTCATAATAATTAAATCAGCATAGTACTGGAACAAAAGCAGATACATAAACCAATGGAATAGCATTGCTAGGTCAGAAAGAAAGCCACACCTGGGTAATGAACCTATGACATAAGCGTGAAGAATATACACTGCAGCAAGGAAAGCCTCTTCAATAAGTGATGCTGAAAAATTTGGATTACTACATACAAAAAAAAATGAATGGAACTAGACAGTATACCTCCTACCATAAATGGATAAAAGACTTAAATCTAAGACCTATAACCACAAAATCCATATAAGAAATCGCAGATGAAATACTCCATGACATTAACTTCAGAAATATCTTTGTGGATTTATCTGCAGCAGCAAGGAAGACAAAAGAGAACACAAACAAGCGGGACTACATCAAACTAAAAAGTTTCTGTACTGTTTCTCCTACTAAATAGGAGAAAATATCTGTACATCATACATCTGACAAGGGACTGATATCAAAGAGTTCATACAATGCAACAAAAAGAAAATGAACAATCCAATAAAAAAATGAGCAGAGAGCTAAAGTGGAACTTTTCTGAAGACTTGCAGATAACCAACAGGCACGTGAAAAAATTTTCATCAACATTTAACATCAAAGAAACATAAATCAAAACCACAATGAGATACCACCTCCTACTAGTGAGAATGGGCTATAGTAAAACAAACCAACCAAAACCCAGAAACAAGTGCTGGCAAGGGTGTGAGGACCCCTCTTACACTGTTGGTGGGAATGTAGACCAGACGAGCCCCTGTGGAAAGCAGTGTAGAGTGTCCTCAGAATTAAACAGGATCTCCCATACAACCAACAATCAATCCCATGCCTAGATAGCTACCCATAGAATGCAGCAAAAAAGTTCAAAGGCAAACTGCCCTCCTGTATATTGCAGCCGGTGAGTGGATCAAGAAGATGGGAGTGTGTACACACACACACACACACACACACACACAAATGGAATGCTATTCAGCAAACAAAAAGATAAGCTGCTTACAATCTAAAATTAGAATTATTAAAGTTCTAAGAGTATTTGACTGAAAACATAGCTATACAGAAGGTTTCAACATACCTCCTTCCTAGCCAGACAGTCCTACATAAAATAAATGCAAGGACTTGGGGAAATTGAAAAATTCAATCAACTCATCTAATTTAATAGTCCAGGTCCCTCAAATAAACAGTAGACATTATTTTGTGTGTCACAGAACATGGGCAACATAACAATCGTGTACTGACTTGATCATTTTTGAGACCACATTCTTGGATCACAATATATAAAATAAGAAATAAAGAATAAAAGGGTGACCAGAAAACCTAAATACCTGAAATTCCCAGGTAAACTTTAGATCAAAGAGGAAATCAAAGCTGAAATAATATGCTATCTGGAAAGCAGCATGAAAAGGAGAACAAAACCTGTGAGGCTCAGTAAAATTCAGAGGAAATTTACCATCCGGAGCACCTGTACTGAAAAGTGTAAGTATCCGAGCTCTGTTCTGCCATGAGAACCTAAGAAACACCCTAGCAATTTTCCACATGGTGGTATTTTTACAAAAATTGCAAAAGCAAGGCATTTTGATATTCTTTTTCTTATAGAACCTCTCCCAAACTCCATCCCCAGCCATATAAATAATAGTCCCAACAAAACTTGGGTCCATTCATTTTAGCTTAAAATGTGTTCATTATATTTACAATGTCCCATCACCAAAGCTAGGGAAGGATGAAGTACCCAAGCTATTGATGGTTCTCCAGAAAGGATTGCTGGCACATCAGAGGTACTGTACTGAACAGAGTCATCCTTGAGCATGGCAGAACATTTAGCCTGTAGTCCCTTCTATTCATTTTGACAATAAAAACTTTTCCCCACAAACCCACAAGAGAGGAAGTGTAATCAACTATTATTGCATACCTATAAGCTGAATTTTTAACTTGCTGGAATTTAGCAGTAACAAGAAAATAAGGCTGGATTTTCAGTTACCTCGGAGCTTTTCAAACAGACTTCAAAATCTATCTCCCACTTATGTAAAAATCCAGGAAGGAAAGCTCCCTTTGTGAACAAGGCTCTCGCAATGTTCTAAAGAAATAAACTTGAATGTGGAAGTTATAGACAAGAGTCAAAGTGCCAGGACTCTGGATCCTGGAGAAAGGGTTCGATTTACAACCCACTCCTAGGCAGTGAGCTTGTGACTTGTGACTTCCAAGATGAAGCTAAACCTTTGAAAAAGGACGAGAATGTCACCTCTCTCAGATTTTGATGACTAGATAGTAAAATGACCACCAGAGTCTGGAGGGCATTTTTTCTTCAATATTGTTTCTTGTCCCACCCTCTCCCGCTCTGTCCCTTTGGAAAGTTTGGGAGTTGTACCACCCACCTGAGTGTCAGGATGTTAACGGTCATCACTTGAAGTTGCCTCCTTATGGGGATCAGAAACACATTTCTCTCTGGAGAACCTAAATATGACCTGAGATCCAACACCACTGATTGTATGAATTTAGGAGCTTGTCTGAGGCTGGTGCTGATGGACATGGACAAGTTTTATGGTAGAATGCGTTTGTTGATCATCAGACACAACCCCAAATGTGCAATCAGAAACATACAATGAAAAAAAAAAAAAGCCCACATCGTCTGCCTCTATAAGAAACTACAATGCATAAACCATTATTCAACTAAGGGGTTGGACTCAACAATCTAAATACTAGCTTTAAGATACTATCATATTGATTTTCACACTAATATGTAACAAGAGCCTGGTCAGGTCAGGTACTGGGTTGGCAATTTTGACACAATGGTAACATAAAGGATAAAGAATGGTAACATAAAGGATAAAGAATTCCATTGCTGAGTATATACCCAACAGAAATCAGACGCATGCACAAGAAGACATAAGTAAAATGGTCATAGAAGTACTATTTGTGATAGCCTGAACTAGAAACAATCCCCATAGAATAAACAAAATGTAGCCTGTTCTTACAGCGTGATAGACTTTTAGGGAAGTGGTAGGATCTACCAAGATGGAGCAACCATGGAGGCCACCAACGGACGTGTGGAGTTGCTCCACAGAGAAACTCGCTTGGATTTTGGTAAATCCACAAACAACTCAAGCCCACAAATCTGCAATGGCTTCAGGTGCTTTCCTGATGACCAAGCCAAACTCCTGTCCAGATCAGCTTAGGTCAACCTCAGCAAGGGATTTCAGTATACCTGTGAACCCACAGAGGGAAGGGGTCTTCTCATCCCACATAATGGATTTTCTTTTCTAAGTCCTGCTTTTGTTTTCTTATGGACAATAGTCAACAATCAACAAACGTCAGTGTCTTTCTCTCCAGTACACTTAACCTTTTCAATAGAGAAATAAGTGTCTCTGGATTTATTTTTTACAAATGGAATAACATGAAAGAAGCATTACTATACACAACATAGACCTTACAATTAAAAGGTGGGACAAAGGACCAAGCAAAAAAGAATGCATACTTATGACTCTATTCATAGAAAGTTCCAAAACAAATGCCTGGTGTTAAAAGTCAGGATAATACTCTCCTCCAGGAAGGAAGGAAATGACACTAATTCAAAAGGATACAGGAGATAGGGGAGGAAATGGAATTTACTCTCTCTTAGAATAATAGTTACATGGATATGTTCATGTTATGATAATTCATCAGGTGTACACTCATGATTAGTATCTCTCCCTCATATAGATATATGTAATTATATCAGACATTAAACAGGGAGATCCACAGCAACCAGAACTGCTGTCATTTTCTGATTGAGGCACAGCAGGTACAGGACACACCGACCTGATCACCCAGAGAACACACATCCACAGTCTTACTGCAGGACTCCCTGCACTAATACCACTCTCTCCCACTCATTAGATCATTTCATGCTAATATGCTTCATTATTTTCTACTTAGCAAAGAACAACCAGCAAAAGCTGTTGCCAGCCCACACTCCTCACAGCTATTGCCCCTTTACCTCACATTCCTCGATGGAGCCCATACCCATTCTCACTTCCTTAAGCTCAGTGTCTTCTTGATCTATTACAGAGGCCTCCGTGCCTCCAACCCATGGCAGATGCTCTAAGAGAGCTTCAGTCCGGTCACATCCATCCTCTCAACAGTGTTTGACACGGTGACCACTTCCTCCAGGTCAGCTTCTCCTGCTCTGTGTCTATGACCCTATTCTGCTTGTCTGCCTGTCTCCCTAGGTGTTCATCCTCAGTTTCTTGCTGGCCTCTGTCTTTGATCAAGAGGTTGAAGAACTTCAAGTTTCACTCCAAGTCTTTACTCTTCCTCTCTTTATGATTCCCCTAGAAGAGTTCAGTCAGTCCCATAAGTTTAAAGTTCATTCGTGTGCTGAGGACTCAAATACTTATTTCCACACCCTAGTTATCACCTTGATTTGTCTGCCTCACATGAGTCTTAAAATGCCTTGAATCCCCACCCAATGGACCCTACTCCCCTCCCCCTCTCATAACTGCACTCTCTTCACCTAGTTACCTCGGCACCACACACAGAGGTCTCCTCTATTACTCTGTCCCACAGTAGCCAGTCCTGTTAGCTGTCTTCAAATACACCCCGTCTCTTACCTTCTCCCAGCTAGCATGCTAGTCCGCCCTCCACAGCTCTCACCTAAAGGACTGCCACTAGCCTCCCACCGGCCTTCTTGCTTCTACTCTTGCCCCCCCACGCCATGATGTAGTCAGAGCAGACAGAGTAGGCACTGGCAAGGTGTAAATCTCCCCTAATCTTTGTTAGAGAAAATGAAAAGGCAATCAGCAAACCCAGCCAACACCATCGTACGTGATCACACGTACCTTTTGCCTGACTAGAGATACCATCTGTGAAAACAGGAGAGTCGGGAGCCTGAGGGTGGGTGGTGCCAGGGGCCGAGCTCCAGGACCGCATGCTTCCCCGGGCACTGCAGTCGCTGCTCCCGAGTCTCAGCAGCCAGTGGTCAGACAAGGAAGAGCTGGTGGAACCTGGGGAGGAAGCAGAGAACGCAGGCTGGTCCACCCTGTGGGGTTACAAAGGATGCTCACAGCCACATTCCCGTGCCAACCCCTGGGACTGCAGGCCCAAGGCAGAATCACAGCAGCAGAAAGTAATGACCAGAAATAACCAAGTGAGTAACCAAGTGATCAAGCTGAACATTTTACCCAACGTCATTTGGACCCAGAAAAAGGAAAAAAAAAAAAAAGAGAGGTTCATGAGGATAGAAATGTTTTTCATAAAATTACTGGTCATCAACTCCAGTTTTCTAAACATGACTTATTTTTCATTCTTCTTTCTATGTCTGTCTTCTGCAAGAGAAAGGCAGACTGCATTAGGGTTGACTTAGACCTACTGGGGCAGCTTGGTTTTATTTGGTCACCTCCAAAAATTACTGGGGAGAGGGGTGTTGGGAAAGCTGAACAATTAAAAAAAAGAATGCTCTGTTATCCCAAAGAATGGCTAGTTTTCAAAGTGAAAAAACATACAAAAAAAGGTTAACTTTGACTATTTTTCCCCTCTAGACAGCGAAATAAGCCTGCAGGTTATGTGCCAGGCCACTGGGGCGTGTGGTTGAGTAGCCACAGTTCCTGCGAAAGGCCTTTCCCTCCCTTTCTAGTGGAATGAGTGCAGGTCTATGTCACACAAGGCTAATTCAAAGCTAGTTTGACATGAGAGACTAGAAATATGGAATTTCCTACCACCAAGTGTCACCCGTCAGACACTTTCTTAGATTTCAGTTTGCCCATCCTGCATCCTCCCAAATGGAATACTAGGCCGTAGTACCCCAAACTCTGTAGCAAGAGCCGAGTTCCGTCTTTCAGATCTTTGCACACCTCTGCTGGTGTTTGCTGTGCAACTGAGCATCTCTCTAGTCCTTAAAGTGACACCCCAAGTCTCCACCTTGCAGCGCCTACCTCTCATGGAGCTGCTGGCTGACCAGGGAGGGATGCTGTTCCGTTTCTGATAAAAGAGGATGTAAGCCCCTCGGGTATTGACCTCATCTTCTAGAAGTGGTTCCACTGTGCTGTCATCATAACTGTACCACTGACCATCCAGGGAGTTCCGGCAGTAGGCTGCAAAGGATCAAACCAAGTCACAATTATTGGAGCCTTCAAAAGCAGGAGATATTCTCCTCTGGCACAGTTGAAAAGTGAACATACTTGCAAACAGAATGAGGAAAGTTGCTGCACTTCTGACCAAAGGATCAGTCAGTCCTATATTACCAGATTCTCAGTGTATGATGCTAATTCAGTAGCGCCCTTACACTGCAGGCCTTGCTCAGGGAAATCTCCAGCAAAAAGGAGCCCCAAGTTATTGAGCCTGACAATAGCACCTACATTCACCCCATTTCTGTGAGAAGCTTCAAAATCCACATTTATGATTCAGTAGGCAATGAAAACATACAGTTGGGAGTACGACATACTTCTATCATACATAAGAGCTGAAGTGAAACCTTCAAGAAAATGTTCATAAGAAAGATGTTCACCACCTTCCACACAATCATAACAAAATGCTCTTTGCCTTCCTTCCACATCTTGGTGAATGATACCATAACCTGCTGATCTAATAGTCAGGCAACTTTTTCTGTCATGGTCCAAATAACAAATATTTTAGGCTTTGCAGGTCACATAAGGTCTCTGCCAAAGATACCTTTTGCCATAATTTATTTTTTACCACTTTTTTTTTTAAGATTTATTTATTTATGCATACAGAACTGGGGTACAGGCCAGAGGTGCAGGGATGGTGAGGATTCACCAGAGACAGAGTGGGGAGCAGAACAGGCCAACTGACCAAGTACACTGCTGAGGGGAGCAGTGGGCAGGTCAGGAGAGGATCACCTCCAGGGCCAGGGATTGAACTCACACTGAAGAGGCTGCAGCTAGTTTGCAGTGCTATGCTTTAGCCCACTGCGCCACTAGGGAGGACCCTTACCACTTTTTTTTAAGCACAAATATCTTGCTCATTACTGGTCTACACAAAATCAGGTGTTAGGTTGGATTTGGCCCTCGGCCATAATTTGCAGACCCCTTTGCTCTTCTCTGTCCCTTCTCTTCCCATCCCACACCCAACTCCAAAGCCAGCCTTACAGCTTCTACTTCCCCAAGCATCTTCAATATCCTGATTGTTATCACCAGAGCCCTAGGCAACAAGACCTCTCACTTGAACCCCCAAAACATCCTCCTTAATGGAATGCCAATTTCTGTTCCTATTCCCTTCCACTGATTCTCCATAGAGCAGAGCTACTCCCTCATTTATGAACTGTCTACTCCTCTACCTAAAATCTATTCATGGCTGCTCACTGCCTTTGGAAAACATGCAAACTCTTGCGCATGGCTTACAGTGCCTTCTGATCCAACCCTGCCTTTTGCTCCAGCCCCATCTTGTGCTGTTCACCCTAGTAGGGCCATGGCATTGCAGCCCTGACAGGTTTTCATTAGTTCTTCAACACACTATTTCTGCCTCAGGGTCTTTGCACATGCTTGCTGTACTGCCCATAACACTCTTTCTCCCGTTATTCACATGGCTAGTTCTATTCATCCTTTAGCTCTTGACAGAAATGTAACATCCTCATAGCCGTCTTATCCAAATACATCGGTCACTTTTCATACTGCCAAAAGGCTGAAGTACTAAAGTGCCAAGCACCTTTATACTGTCTGTACCTGAAATTTCATATCTTCCTTGTTCACTGAAACTACAGCACCTAGCACAGGGCCTGGCACAGGGTACTTAACAAATAAATAGTTGCTAAAGAAAGAAGGAATGAAGATCCTAGATTTCTATGTAGCCCAGTGTTTTAAAGGATGCGGTACATCAGATATACCTTTCAAAGTACACTGTGCACTTTTCAAAAAGTGAAGTATTTTATTTTCTCAAAAACTGAAGTCACTCATATTATTCTAGAATGAATAGACAAAAGTATATGACTATGAATAACTGAGTGAGTAGCCCAGCTACTTGTGTCTACCCTTCTACTGGTCTATTTCTCTCAAGTGCCTCTGAAGGATAAAAATTAAATGTACCCCATAGATATTTAAAAAAAAACAACACTAAATCTTATTTTTTTTAAATAAAGGGTCCTTGTGCTAAATCACCAGTGATTTCTCAGTTCCAGGAATTATCCCTTTGTATTTGATACGGTTAAAATGCCAGGCTGTCACTTTGTATTCTCACTACTGACTAACACAAGCCCACAGCTTGAACCAGGCTCCTCCCCTCTCCCCTCTACCAGCTGCCCAGTGTGAGGGGGGCCGAGGGGGGGACGGGAGGAAGGGCATCAGCATGAGTCAAGTGCTGAGCTCAGCATTCCAGGCCACAGCCATGACACATGGCCACAGCAGCCACAGGCCAAGCGGCGAGGCTCACCTGTGTAATGCCCACCTTGCAGACTGCCGTGGTGGTTGCAGACGGCATACAAGTCATACAGGAAGTTCAGTGGGTAGGTGGAGGGCAGGCAGGCTGGCTGCTTCCAAGAAGGCCAGGGGCCCTGAGTGGGTGGGGTGCTGGTACTTCTCTGCGCCACGTGGGGAGCCATGTCCAGGCCAGAGAGTGGAAACTTCACCAGCGTGGAGAGCTTGTTTCTTCTCTCACCCACTTGGCAGAACCTCTTGAGGTGGATGATGAGGATGTCGGGTAGGGTCCAGAGGCTCAGCTTCACCATGCCCTGCTGCAGGGCTTTGCAGTGGGGGCATTTCCAGGCGTCATCCTGGGCCAGCTACAAAGGAAGTCAGGACCATAGGGCCCCTGGAGGTAACTGACCAGTCCCCTGACAGGCAGCCAGCCCCCTTCCCAAGTGGCGAGGGGACCCCTAGGATGAGACCTGCTCTTCCTTGGTGTAGAACTGAAAACATTCGTGTAAGGTGCAGCTGTGCTGCTGGTGCGCCTGCTGCTGCCGCCACACGCTGTCCGCATCCTGGACACGCTCCTCCTGGAGGCTTCCGAACAGGCTGCCGGAGAGGAAAGCACGCATACAGGGCTGGCTCCGCAGTCCTCGGGGGGCTACACCCAAGTTTGCTCAACAAGGAGGCGTCACCAGGCAGGTGAAGGCGCCTCAGGCACAGCCCGACCCATGCAAACGCATTCCTACCAGATCTCTCCAGCTCCCCCAGTGGCTCCAGGAAGGACCAAACCCTGGGCTTACTCACCTTTTTCCTCATCCCAAAGCACTTAGGAGATCAGATACTTGCTGAACCACACAGTGTCCTCGTTCAAAGTAAGGTGGGAGCACTCTGTGCCACAGAGGCAATGATTAAAGGCACAGACACAAGTCGGAGAGCCTGAATTCCAGTCTTGGCTCTGACATGCAGAAGCTGTGTGACACTGTGCAATTGTTTAACCTCTCTGTGCCTCGGTCTCCACATCTGAAAATGTAGCTTATAGACGTGATCCCTTCCCAGGGTATGGTGAGGCTAACTAAAGTGATGTGTGTACATGCTAGAGGCACTGGCACAGGAGTAGATAAGCATCACACAACCATTTCCTAGCACTGATGTTATCACTACTAACATCACCTGCCACCACCATCATCACTGCTGCCCTCATTGTTTCTATGCAGACTGGCACTGGGCTTCTCAGAAGAATGGATGACATGACACAAGGAGGCAGGCATCCTGCAGTGACTTGGGAAAAGTGCGGTCTGGCCCCCAGATGGAGACAGACTCATTGTACTCACCGCTCCTTGAAGCAACTGTCCCACTCCACGGCTAGTTTGACATGTGGAGGGCCTCCGGGCTTCCTGAGGTGCAAAGCTCTGAGGAGACAACAAGGGAGCCCATCAGAAAGCACAGAGCACCCTTCCTCTACTTTAGGGGCCAGTGGTCTGCCTCCAGCTCCAGGGCTAATGTTGCAAATGGAAATGCAAACCCAGGTCAGATAGCTGCAGCTGGCTGTGTCCTAAAGACTCCATCCTAAGTCCACTGCGAATGCTCTCTTCTCACCCCTTCAGGAGCTCGGGAGCACCAAGGGTTTACTACATGGACGCAGCTCACCTCCCCCAGTGCAGCACCAGCTGCCTTTTTAGTGTCCAGAGAGCAGGTCCCTTTGAACAACCTGCCACAAGAGCCAGTTTTTGATGCTGCAAGTCCAGTCAAGTAAGAGCCTATTCATTCCTGTGCCATACTGGAGTGCCCCTTACCTGTCAACTGCCCAGTGGCAGAGGGGCCGGCTGTCCTGTGGGGACAAGTAGCTGCAGGACACAGAGAGCCCCACAACCCGGATGGAAAACAGTGACCCCAGATTCTGCTGAGACAAAAACAGAGACACCAGTCATCATGGAGCCAACTTATTATTCAAGTGGACAGAGATTACTCCAAAAATATAATCCTGTTTTTGATCGTCTCTTTTGAATATTTCTTTAACATTCAAATATAGAGAGAAAAGGATTTTGTTTTTTGAGAAGATAAAACATAGTGCTCTTATGCTGTTTAACACATCTAAATTTTCCAAAATGATGAAAATGGTATTTTTAAATAACAAGTTATTATTTGAAGTAGATCCTAGTACAATGAATGGAGAAGCATCAGTTATTAATAAATTACTAACAGATAATTTAGCTTATTCTATTAAGATTATTATCATCACCCAGCTGCCAAAATAAGGCAATCATCTAAAAGGAAGTTAGGGTATATTTTGCATACAATTTAAATAAATGTTTATATACTTCAAAATAATCCACATAAAGAAATACTACCTGTGCTTTTATTCTAAGATAGGCATCATTTTAATAGCTTAACTTTTCTGAAACTGAGATGAGTCTTGAACAACATTATTCACAATCATCAGAAGGTGAATGTAACCCATACTCCTCACTAGGTGGTATCTTGCATACAATCAGCCTTAAAAGGGGAGAAAATTCTGATACATCCCACAATATGGGTGAACCTTGAAAATATGTTTGCTTAGTGAAAAAAACTGAAACAGAGGAACTGATCCTATACGATTCTCTCATGTGAAGTACTCAGGGTAAGCAAATTCACAGAGAGGAAAGGAATGAGGAAAAAGAAGAATGGAGGTTACCACAGACTCCGGTAGGAGGCTGGGAGTCACTCAATGAAGTATAGAGGTTTGGGAAGGGGGAATAATGAAAATTTGGGACTATAGGTAGTAGTAATCATTGTGCAATGCAGTGAATATGATTAATGTACACTTAACTGGTGCAAATAAACCAAACTTATGCATTCTTTATCACAATTTTTTTTAACCTCAATAGACTCTCCAATAAAGGAAAAACAATTCTGACAACTTTGACTATAACTAGAAAATCAAATTTTCTTCCAAACTCTGACAAAGAGAAAAGAGAGGGTAAATGAGTTAAAATCAGGCTTTGTTTACTCCCTCCCGCTTTCAGCTTCTATGGCCAGCACCTGCGGTCTGCAGGCTGCCTGTGATTAGGGACACCTGGCCAGAGTGCACTGGGCATGCGTGCATGTAAATGGGGCACCTGTGCTCAGGGGCAAGGGGATATAAAGGCAGCTTCACTCCGAGGGCAGGAGAACGCCAGAGAAATGCTGAGAGGGAAAGATGGTCTGTCTGTCCCCCGGTTCAGCACGAAAAGCCTGTAAAAATCCCTGGAAGCCTTCAAAATTCTTTGTCGGCAAGAATCGACAGTGAACTTAGCCAGATTGGGATAGTGGCAAAACACATCTACACTTAAAAATCACTGATAAAGCACAGATTGGATTCAGAGAGGGGACGAGGAGGGCGGTATTACATACAATCCCAGGAGAGAGGACAGCGGGAGGGAGGGCAGCATGGCCGTGGCAGCTGATGTGTGTGGGCAGGAGTGGGACAGGGTGAAAAAGTAAAGCAGAGCCCAGCTGCAGGGAACTTAGGTGTCAAGTGCAGTGGTGTGTCCATCTCCCGGGACTAAAACCACATGCCGGTTGGCAAGATGCTTCAACAAAGACAGAGCAGGCTTTGGAAGCAAGCTGACTCCAGGGGCCTGGTTTCAGAGCTCGCCATAGAAGGGCGTATTTCCCAAAGATACTTAAATCTGAGGAGGCTGCTCTTTGACCTTGCAGCGCTGACTGAGCCTTGCTGTTCGAAGGGTAACATTATCCACACAATCAGGACCCCCTAGCCTGCCTGGAGACAGCTTACCCTTGTTGAGCACCAAGAAAATTTAGTGACCATGAAGATATTGTGGCAATGAAATGTCTTCTTTTTATAATTTAAGTAAATTTTATTCTGTCCAGAAAATTGGTTCTTTGTGTAAGAGGCACTTTCCTGCCCCCTGTTCTTGCAAGGAAAATTCTTCTTAGAGTCTTGAATATAGGTTCACAACTTTTAGTCTCTTCAGTTCACCATTGCAAATCCTAACTGTTTTGTTTTCAGATAATTACCACGCCGAGCCAGTATTTAATAATACATAAAACACTAAAAGCATTATGGGTTAGGTGAACGGGCTAAGCTGGAAACCTCATGACTGCTTAGAACATATCATTCCCATGGAAAATTGTGCCCAACCATCACTTCGTATACCAGTGAATGTGCGGGATGGTATCAACAGCGAATGTGGAGGTTGCCTCTTAGAATTTTGCTGGCTCTGCTGATGGTCTGATTGGTTTCTCAAATCAAAATGACTGTGGGAGAGCAGTGGGAAAAGCACATTTGGGGCCAGGTGGGGAATCAGGACAGCTGAGTAAAATGTGCCCATGAAAGTGGTTTCATCCACTTTCAACAATCAGGAGCACAGGGTTTGGGGGAAGGCTGGGCTCATTACTAGAGATTCTGACCTACTTAAAGAGAAGTTAGTTTCTAATCTGGGCACTGCGGTGCAAACAGCAATATATCCTTTAGAGTTCAAAGATGGTACAAATGTAGAAAAGGTCTTTAACAAGGTGATATTTGCTATAAATCCTGAATCAAAAGCATGTTTTATCCCTGAGCAGGAAGGAACTGAATCATGAAGAATGGCCTGTGAAAGAAGACTGGAACAATCCCCAAATGAGAAGTTTTTACTAAGAGAAAAGTTGGGGAGACAAAAGTCTGCTGCTATTTTTTCTGTCCCTAAAAAATTTCAGTGTGTATGCCAAGCAGCCATCAGCATAGTTTCTGATGCTACAAGGCTGGAGGGTAAATGAAGTAGTCAGGTTTTTTCCGCCCTCTCACCATTACCATCAATGACCCACACATGTGGTCTTGCACGCGTGCCTGATGGCTGCACCTGCGGTGTGGTGTGGGCGTGAGTGGGTGCACTGAGCTGTGAGACAGCAAATGAGCACAGCAGCAGAGGATGGGGCAGACAAAGGACAGTGCAGTAGCGACCAGAGACCAGCCTGCGAGAGAAGCCAGAGCCCAGAAAGAGTAAAGGTTCACCTGCCAGCCTCTGGCCCCCAGAACCCCTGCCGGCCCCGTGCCTGGCTGCCTCACCACAAATGGTGTGGAAAGATCATTAAAAGCTGGAAAAGGCCGCTGAGGGCACCAGCACCCTCCTTTTCCCATCTGCCCAGATCATAGAAACCTGCTTCATATCTTGCTAGCGCTATAAGGGCCTAACGGGGGTGGTTGGAGACTGGGTTGTCTTATTTAGAAACTACCAACCTGATAATAAATGTGCAGACAAAGAGATTTTTTTCCCCTGAGTTTTTAACCTCGGTTTTTATTTTAATATCTAGATTTTCATATTGGGACATAAATATCCATTTTAGTTTTCCACAGAAATCATACCTCAAGTCCCCTAAAATTTCTGATCCAAAGGTTTCAGTTTCAATTTATTCCAATGCACGCTCTTCTAGAAATAATTTAAGTAAACCATTTGTATTCAAAACAGAATAATAATGTAAATCTTCCCTTTATTCTGATGGTGTTTGTAAAGATTGGATGGAAAAACTACCACGTGTGAAAGGTGTTTTGCAATGCCACAGAGGGTGAACACGCAGACCATGCAATTGTCACTTCCTTGCACATAAATCAACATTGCTTTATACAATGTGAACACTCTTATAAACAGTAAGTTCTTGCCTCTCCTGAACTACCTCTAGATTCCTGCTCCCACCCGGTTCCCAGCACGTACACACACATGCATGTGTGAGCACACCCTCCCGCTCCCCCCCCCACACACACACTGACCTGTACGGGGGCCTCACTCCTCATGAGATAGCGGACCTTGCTGAGAATGCACAGCTGGAGCTGGGGCCAGGAAATGGCTCTGTCTTCCCTGATCAGAAAAGGTGGCCCAAACCTGAAAAATCCAAGGAATTAGGTTACCTCACAAAGGAAAAGCAGCTGTATTTATCAGTCATGAGCCTTTGTTCTACTCACGCCACTCCACTCCACTGGGTAAGAGTTAAGCACCAAACACCACACAAAATTGCTCATCAGAGAACCCCAAGATGCAGAGCCAGTGGGGACAATGCAATGTAACAGATGGCTCCAAATGATTAGCCGGCAGGAAGCTTCCCCACAATAGAAAGTAAACTACAGAACCTGGAACCAGAGAAAAGGAAACCAGAGATAAACCCAGAGGGGACAAGTCCAATTGACACTCGGATGGCTCTATGCACCAGGAATGCTCTCCTAACTGGGAATGTTTCCCAAGACCCAACCTAATAAACACACAGCTGTTGCTGTCCACTCCAGCTCTGCAGTGGGGGCTGCTGGACAAGACACTGGCCATTGCAGGCTCCTTGGCTACATGAGCCAGGCTGTGTGTAGACCCAGTGGATAGCAATGTGAAAGTGCTGACTGTACTTTGCTAACACATATAGGAGGTGGTAAGTCTGGACGGGCAGGGTCACACTGTTATGCATCTCGCCCTCTGTTGTCAGGCGCCCAGGCCGCCTCCATTTTTCAATTTAAACAATGCTATGTCAGGAACTACACATATTCTGTGCCTGTGCCTCTGGGTGCCCATCACAATGGTTGCTTTGGGACAAAGTTCCAGAAATGGAAATGTGAGATCAGAAAAGCCACACCAATTTTAGCTGTGGGGGGCTATACCCTAATCCCTAAACACTTATCAAAAGGAAGTGTTAGGGATTTCTTAAAGCCCTATAAAATCTGAAAAGTTTATGATTGCATCTCACTATTGCAATCAGAATTGCTTCTTCTACTAGTGAGGTTGAATATTTCCTCCTGTGCTCGTATTTCCTCTGTGAACCATTTTACTAAAGGGTATTTCCCTCACTGAATGAGAACTAGGTTTTAAATGTTGGATACCCATCCTTCAGCAGTCACAGGATGTAAATACTTTTCCTCGTGTGTGCTTTGCCTTTCAACTTTGTATATAGTTTAAAATATTCAAAGTATTTAAGACCTAAGCTTTTTTCTTTATGGCCTTCTGCCAAAGGTGTTAAAGATATAAATTTTCCCCTACATTATCCAGGTAATTTTGCAGTATCCTTTTCTATATTTACCTCCCTAATCAATCTGAAATTTAAGCCTATGAATTTCTGATGGGAATAAAAGGTTGATTATAGAAAATAAAAAGAAAGAAAATCAGTTGACCCAGTTTTACTTATTAATTCATTAATTTAGCAGTATTATAAAATACAGCTCATATCACTTGATACTTAACTATAATTTGACCTATTATATCCCATTGATTTAAATATATAGTCCTCTGCCTATTACACAATGTCTTAATAATTGGATTATTCTGTTTCATTGGCAAAATCCCTCTTCTTCCTTTATCCCTCTCAGCAATTTCTGGCTATTCTTACAAGTTTCTTATTTCAGATTAATCTTACAAACATTTTATCAATCTAAAAATTTTGGGTAGAAGCTTTATCTTTTAAATGTTTTATTGGGACTATATGAGAAAAATTATCTGTCTTTCTATATTTAGTATGTAATCAGTCATAATCCTGAATTCTCAATAGCATTAATCACATTCTAATTCTTAATTCTTTGGAAAGGTATCAATATATTCTGCAAATAGTGGTAATTTTATCCCCTCTTTTCTCATAGGCAGTATCTTTTTCCTATCTTACTGTACTGCCCCAGCCTTATAAAACAGTACAAAATAATAGTGATGAGGGAAATAATTAATCCTGAAATTAATAGGGATACCTCACATGCTTAAATGTTAAGAAGTATGCCCGCCATCTGCTTAAAACAATTATTTCTGATAATCTTAGATGGCTAAACTTGAGAATGTTTAATTTTATCAACTTAGAATTATTCTGAACGGAATTCCGAGTACATAAAAGTCCCAGACATCATGTATAAAGAGCACAAAGTTAAACATACCTGCTAGCCTTCTGCCCTGACCCCACCAAGTTACAGAAGAGGATTAGCACCTTGTTCTCACTCCGGGCAGGCAGGGGCAATCGCTGGCCCTCTCGGGCAGCCAAGCACGGGGAGACAGACAGAGCAGGCGCACGAGCTGGCGGGAGAGAGTTACATCTGAATGCGGAAAGGAGCCACTTCTGGGTCAGAGTCCAGGTTGTCTAGCCAACTCTTTCTCTTTGAGAACCTATAAACCACCACTGGGAGACACTAGAATAATTTAACTGCAAAATAACAGCAGGGATTTTATTTTAACACTTCTCAAATGCAACTTGAAAAACACTCCAGAGATTTTGGTTGCTTGTATGACTTGATCAGAGAGCCCCCCACCCCCGACTTAGAACCTATCAACCTGAGAAGTGCACAGAGAAGGTAAGCATCTTTAGCATTGAGGAAGCACAGGTACTAGCCGATCCTTTAACAAATTCTCCAGGTGACTCATCCTCACTAAGGCTTTGGGAACCCCTGTATTTGTTGAATATTTTTAATACTCAACCATTTGTATACCAAATATTGGAGAAAACAAGCTTGAGGCTTCCAAGTACTGAAATAAATGTCTTTAAAAAAAATTAAAATAAATGGCTTATCCCTCAGTGCCCAATGAATACCCTCTCAAAATGAGAGTTCCCAAGTAAAATGATGCAAAGCACCACTGTACCTGTGAGTGTCTCCTGGCCCAGTGCTGGAGGAGCCTGAAAGGCATACACGTTATCTCCCTCAGCAATAGTGTTCAAATCTTCCTCATCAAAGAAAGACCGCTGGAATCCACTGGGATACAGTTCAACCAAGATCACCTGGAATGAGAGTGATCGTTAAGGAATTGAACACTTAAGAAATCTAAAAGTGACTAGTCTGAAACCTCTCTTTCACCCTTTCTCCCCTGTTAAGAGATAAATGCTACTTATTTTTAGTAATAGAACATAGTCGGTATAATAATTAGGTTGATCACAGACATCTTAAATACAGTACCAGAACAGCAATGTGCCGAGGGAAGAGTTAGGACAGTAAAATTCAAAATCTAAACACTTATACTCAGCTGAGCTACCAAACAAGAATAAAATTAAGCTCTCTACAGATATAACATGGGAGTTTAATACTGACACAGATCTCCAATGAAAGAACTTCTAAATATTATTATTTTTTTCATATGATGTCATAGATGGAAAATGTTTTCATGGAACAGAGTAAACAGAAGAAACAGATCTTACAGTGAAGGGGGAGAGCTGGCTGCCTAATGGGCCCTGGCTGCTCCAGACAATTGCGTCACCTTCGGGTACCACCCCTTGAGGGAATCATCATCTCAGCACACATAACCCATGTAAGCAACACTGACTGGGAAAGTCTCTTGTGAAAGACAACCTTTCAAGATTAATAAAACAAAATGACTCCAGAAGGAAAACCTGAGTTGTAAGACAAAATGCTGAAATGAGACATAGGACCCTCCCAAGTGGCACAACAGGTTCAGTCTCAGCACTATGAAGCTATAGGCAGCCACCACAGCATGAGTTCAATCCCCAGCCAGGGAGCTGACCCACATGGCACAGCAGACTTCTCATGTCCCGCCCGCTGCTCCCCTCAGCAGTGTATTTCAGTAGATCCCTCTATTCTGCTCCCCACTCTGTCTCACCTACCTCCACCCCTGCACCTCTAGCCATACCCCAGTTCTTATATGCATAAATAAATCTTTAAAATGCTGAAACACAGGAGATGGTAAACATTGGCAAATGTAAACATGCAGACTCCATAAATCTACTCTGACAACAACTATTACTGCTACAAGCAGGGAGAATGGAGAAGAGGGATGAAAATACAGTATCTATCTACAACAATATCTAAATCAAAAGAGAAATGAAAGCATTCAGAGATATTCATGTAATCTGTGAAGACTGACAGAGACTTCGTTAATTATGTTGACTTTTTAATGATAACCACTATAAGCATATAAATATAGGTGTTCTAAACCAGAAGGGATCAACAAGAGAAATTGCTCAATCCAAAAGAAGCAGTGAAAAGAACACAGAAGCAAAGGGAAATCAGTACAAATAGAAAGTACAAAATGCTGTAAATGAATCCAGGTCCATCTATGATCATAGACAATATAACTTGCCAGTTAAAATATCAAAACAGATTTTAAGATCCATTCAAAGTGACTACTATCTCCTAACACATCACACTCCTCAAATTCCTGACTTGTTTTACTTTCTTAATTATCCAAATTCTATCCCCCTCAGACCTTCTCCTTTCACTCTTCTATTCTGCCCAAGATTCTCACCCACTGTGCTTCTTTTTCTCCCTCTCTCTTCAACGGTCTACATAAGTACCTTAGAATTTGCAAGACTGAATACACATATTTTTTCCCATTTGAGAACCTTATAAAAGTGGTGATAGAGGTCAGAGGGCTGGATTGGATGGGGCAGGAGGGAGCCCACTGAGATGATGGAAAGGCTCAGTAATTGTGCTGCCGACGCAAGTGGCTGCAGTGTAAAACCCAACAGACTCTGACCTCAAGATCCATATACTTATTATATGTGTTATTCCTTCACAAAAAGGTTACAATATATATTTTTTTAATTTTAAAAAGTCCTAAAAGGTCACCAGGGAAGTATCAAATCTCCATCTTATGGTTCAATTTCTTTGCCCAACATTAGAAAACTAAAAAGTGACTGATCTACCATCAGTACCTTAATCCAAGCCCTTGCCGTTATGCCATGTTGCTGCTCACCCAGGTCACCCGTACCTTGCTCTTTCTTTTAGGGAGGCCCCTCTTATGAGTCCTGCCCTCCAAAGTGACAGTGAACCCAATCTCTTTACCAAGACTCCTTAAAAAAATAAAAGTAGATTATACCCATCTCTGTCTCCTCCAAACCCCCTCTCCTTACAAATCTTCCAATCCCTCAATAATTTTTCATAGTTCACTTGTTGGCCATTCTCAGGAGGGAAAACACAATAGTGGCTCAGACTCTGAAGTCAAAACATCTGTGTTCAATTCCTGGCTTAGCCACTTACCAGCTGTGTGGCCTTGAGTAAGTCAGCTAACCTCTCAGTGCCTCTAGTTTGCTCACCAGTAAAATGGAAATAACTATATAATAGTCTACTGCATAGGATGTCTGTGAGTGCTACATTGGCAATGAAGATAAAGTTTACAACCCAGCACTCAATCAGTACTACTGAGGGTTAGCTATTGTTGGAATTGTGATGACCATGATCTAGTTGCCATCTTGGAAGACAGTGGTGGAGTCTTTTTCTGGTTTCTGTAAATGCAGGGAGTGGTCAAGACCCAGACATCACAGAGAGCAGACTACAAATCAGATAGAAACTCATGAGTCACCCTCGAGTCACCTTGGAACCAGAAATTAGCCTAATCAGCCCAGACAGCTAGCCCAAAAGCTTTCTGTCATCCAGTGCCCAGGCCCCAGTGCAGTTCTGTCACACCTCATCCGTAGGGACACCGCCTTCCTCTGCCACCATCTTCCTCAGGGCTGCCACTGTGCTGAGGATCGGCACGGCCAGACCAACCCTCAAGAACCTCTGGCTCTTAGAGGGGAAGACCAAGGTGACACTCAAGAATCTGGAAAACAGGAAGGAGGCCAAACCCTTAAAGGACTGACATAAAGTATGGCAATACCATTTCATTTGTGTTAGTTCAGCACTTGGGCTAACTCAGCTTCTTGGCTGGGTTACTGCACTTAGGTATGCTGTCACCAGGTGGCAGTGGAGAGACAAATCTCCAAATGGGATTGCTAAAAATGCTTTTTCAGAGTTAAAAATAAATCCTATTTGATTAAAAATGCCCAGATGGGTCTCTTAGTACAGGGTTCTGTTTGACAAATAGATTGTCTTAAGCAAAAACAAGCTTCAAAGTTTGAAAAGTAAAGCAGTTGAGCTTCCTCCAGTATGATTCAACACTCCAAATACTTTCCTTTTCTTACTGAAATTCTTCCTTTGGTGTACACAACCCTCCTGGCCCCCAACCTCTCTAGCTTCACTTCCTGCTATCCCCACCAGCATTAATCTTCTATCTCCTGGTTCTCCTGTTTTAAACCTATTTCCTACAGGTAGCTAATTGGTAGAGATGGGATTTGAAGCTGGACCGCATGGCTACAGGGCCAGTGGTCAGAGTAGAAAGCTGAGTTTACATCAGCAGACATCATCTGATGGTGTCACTGACAAGCATATAAGCCCAGGTTATATTGTGGCACAGATGATTAGTAACACAGAATTCAGAACAGAACGGGGGATTCAGTTGCAGGAAAGCCTTGATGAAGATGTCATGTCATTACATGCTAAAGATAGGGGGATTTCAACAAGCAGAGGGTGAGAGAAATGGTATTTATAGTGGTGTTGAATGCAAGAAGAAATACTGCCAGCTCAATGCCAGTGCAGGCATCCAAACAGGAGCTCACTAAAATGCATGATCGTGACACTGGTCAGTTGCTTTACTGGTCACTGTTAAGTCCTGGGCTTCTGGAAAACCTTCAAGATGTGCCTCTTCATTCTAGACTCAAATCCTGCCATCATCTTAGCCAGTCTCACAGACTCTTCTCCTCCAACAGACTTTTTTTTTGCTCCTTAAGGAAACCTTTCCCCTACATCTTTCCAAAGAAAAAAAAGAACTGGAGCTAAAGCAAGGAAAAAGAGTTGGTGACAAATTTTTTTCAGTTTGCCCCTGTCTGACCAAGTGACACAGATTGGCCCAGGCCAGCTTCCAAATAGGCCAAACCCTGGAAAAACAACAGCACTATTTATGGGGGAAAAAAGCAAACCCAGGGCCAGGAGCTCCCCCTAAGGAGTGAGGACAGAAGCCAGTTCACAGGGCATGATGTGACGCTCACATACCTTGTCTGGCGCAAGGGGATGGGGAGTGACACACACAGGAAGGGATCGAAGGTGTTGCTCTGTTTCAGGCAGTGAGGACAGGTCAAGGAAGATCTGTGAGGGCAAAGGAGAGAGCTTACAGTTTAATCAATTCAACAATTGGGTGGACTCTTAAAAAAGTTCAATATGACCCTCCCTGGTGGCGCAGCGGGTTAAAGCACAACACTGAGAAGCTAAAGCCACTTCAGCATGAGTTCGATCCCTGCCTGCCCCGGAGGTGGCCCACATGGTGTGGCAGACCTCTCCTGACCTGCCCGCTGCTCCCCTCAGCAGTGTACTTCGTCAGTGTGCCTGTTCTGCTCCTCACTTTGTCTCTGGTGAATCCTCTCACCCTCTGCATCTCTGGCCTGTACCCCAGTTCTGTATGCAGAAATAAATCTTTTTTAAAAAGTTTAATATAAAAATGCCATTGCATGGGACACCTGCATATGGAGCCCAAAAATTAACAATGAGGTAAGAAAATAAACAAGTTTAATTAAAAAAAAAAACCTGAAATCAGGAATTCAAGCAAATGCTTGTAGGTAAATGTTCTGCAGCCGGTGGGTGGAAACAACCCAAATATCCACCAGGGGGTCAGTGGGTACACACATCTGATGGCTCCTCAACCAGTAGGATACAGAATTACCCTGCAATCACACAGTGGCATATTCTTCAGCCAAAAGGAGGAAGTCCTGACACAGGCTACAAACACAGGTGAGCCTCAACCACTAAGCTAAGCGAGAACAAACACAAAGGCCACAGCTTCAGCTTCCGTTTAAATGCAATATCCAGAATGGGGAAAGCCATGGACAGAAAGCCAGGTGCTGGGAGGAAGGAGGAATAGAGGGCTGACTGTGGCATAACCTTTGGGGTAACAGAAATGTTTAGGAGCTAGAAAAGGTGGTAGTTGTGCCCTGTGAGTGTGTCATTGACTCATAGGCTTTAAAATAATTAAGTATGTTATATGACTGTCACCTCAATTCTTTTCAAAAGAAAAAAAAAACAGTTAATCACTTATACCCGTGCATTCAGTAAGGGGAAGGAAATAATAACCCCTCCGGATAGAAGCACAGTGTGCCAATGTTCAAACTGCAAGAATCTAAGGACCATCTATTACCCTGGTTTGGACTCCCTCTCCACCCACAGTCCCATGGGGAGCTTTTTTTAAAATGCAGATGTCTAAGCATGATCCCCTTCCCCCTGAGATTCTGTTTGAGGAGCATGGGGAGAAGTACAGGCATTGGTATCAAAAAAGAAAATAGGTGTCATTCATGTGCAGCTACTGCCCAAATTCCCCTACTGTACTGAAAAAAACAAAGGTCAGAAAATGGCAGCTAATAGTAATATAAAGCATTAAGACAGCATTACTAAGAACTGGATATGGGAGCATCCCCAGTGGCACAGGGTTAAAGTCTCAGGGCTATCAAGCTACTGGCAGCCACTGTGGCCCAGGCCAGGGAAATGACCCACATGGCACGGCAGCCCTCTCCTGTCTCGCCCGCTGCTCCCCTCAGCAGTGTATTTCAGTATACCTGCCTGTTCTGCTCCCCACTCTGTCTCTGGTGAATCCTCTCACCTCCACATCTCTGGCCTGTAACCCAGCACATGCATGCATAAAAAATCTTTACAAAATACATGAAACCATCCCATGTTTTTTTCCCATACTACACCACCCTTGCTCCCCAACAGAGAGGCATGTGGCCCACTAGAAAGGTGGTATCCTTGTGTCAATTTCATGTGATACAATTTTAAAAGAGAAATAAATGCAGTCTAGTTGAGTATTAGGTTAAAAAAATGAAAATATTTCTTTTCATTTGTTTGCTTCAATGCAAAGCAGGGATTTGTATATTTCCTAACAAAATACATCCTCAGCCCTGTGCTATGTGTAGGTACCTGATGGATGAAGGTGGGGGACAGCTGGAAGAGAAATGGGGTGGCAGAGGAGAGTCCACCCATATCAGATACCCTGGCAGGCTGAAGCTCACTGTCTCATGAACATTTTTTTTTTAACCAAAACATCACTGTGATTTTCTGCAAAAGGAAAATTTAGCAGAGGCATTTATAATGATGGGTGAATCCAGGGATCTGTTTGAATTAACTGAAATCATAGTGGGTGTTTTGTTCACTTGCATCCAAGAGACCCAACTTGCTCTGAACAGATTCACTTAGGGTTGCCGTGGGCAGCATCCTGAGAACCCCAAGTTTTTTGTTTGCCCCTGGTTGATCAGAAAGCCAGTCAAGCAGGACATGCCCTCCTGAGAGACCTGGGAAACAATGATCAGTTCTAAGGCCACTTTTTTCTAGACTTATTTTTACTTATTTATGCATACAAGAATGGGATATAGGCCAAAGAGGTGGGAGGTGAGAGGATTCATCAGAGACAGAGTGGGGAGCAGAACAGGTGGATCTACTGAAATGCACTGCTGAGGGGAGCAGCAAGTGAGACAAGAGAGGGCTGCTGTGCCATGGGGGTCAGCTCCCTGGCTGGGGATCGAACTCATGCTGCAATGGGTGCAGACAACTTGAGAACCCTGTGTCTTGCACCACCAGAGAGGCCCTCATTTTATATATGACGCATAAAGAAAACACACTGGTGCAAGGACAGAGGAGGGTATTAAGAAGACGTGGCAGCTCTACATGATGGAGCACCACTCAGCTATCAAAAAAGATGAACCCTGGCCATTTTCAACAATATAACAGGGCTGGAGGGGGCTGTGCTGAGCAAAGTATGTCAGAAGGAGAAAGAGAAATCCTGGGTGGTCTCACCCACATGGGGAATATAGAGAAACAAAATGAAGGAACCGCAAAACTAAACCAAAACAAATGGTAGAAATCTGACTGTGCATGGAGGCTACAGGGTGAGGAGGACGAAGGGGGAGCCCGGCTGGGGAGGGCGCAAAGGTCTAAGCAAAGGACTACGGGTACTCTGGTGGTGGGGGTGGTGGGGTGACATGGGAGGTGTGAACCTATTTCCTAAGGGGATAAACAGGGAGAAAAGTAATTAAACACATTGTTTTCATAATAAAGTACAGATAGGATGTGAAATATACCTTTTTTTCAAAGGATAGGAAAGTAGGACAGAGAGAGTGAGATCAGAAGAGGGGCAGCATGGTTTGTACAGAGCTCTGGATGTCATCAGCTTCAGCAGATAACCCAGATGTGGTCTGAGGGGTCCCTGTGTCCTTATCACCTCCCCTCAGCACTCCGGGGTCTGTCCTAGGCTCCCCAGGTATGCGGGCACAGGAGCTCCCCCACTGCCCATCAACATCCACCCGCCAGCTGCATGGTCTTTGCTCTCTTCTGTTATGAGCCACCCAGTCACTGCTGCTGAGTCCCTGCCCTGTACTTCCTGCCAGGGACAGACGCCCAGGTAAGCCCCAAACTGTCATGCCACAGCTTCACCTCCCCACTGATCGGTGGCAGTGCTGTCTACCCCCGAAGAGGCCATGACTTAGGTAACACTTAATCAGACGTCCCCTCTGAGACCTCCACTGACAAAGCCTTCAAAAATGGACTCAGCCTCAAAGGAATCACTGCCTGTAATAGGGGCCAGATCAGACTTCCTGTGAATAAGCACGCGCGCGCGCGCGCGCACACACACACACACACACACACACACACACACACACACACACTGCTTCCTCTAGACAAAACACCAACATCCTATTGCAGGTGTTTAAGGCTGAGGTGCTAATCATATAGAATAACTAATTATTCTTGGGCCCTCCCTGGTGGCACAATGAGTTAAGTCACAGCACTATACAGCTGTCAGCGGCCACTGCAGCAAGTTAGATCCCTGGCCAGGGAGCTGACCCACACAGCACAGCAGAACTCTCCTGACCCACCTGCTGCTCCCCTCAGCAGTGTCTTTCAGTAGATCTGCTTGTTCTGCTCCCCATTCTGTCTCACGTGAATCCTCTCACCCCCCCCACACACACATCTGATCTTGTGTGCATAAACAAAAACCCAGTTCTTGTGTGCATAAATAAAAACTCTTAAAAAGAAGAAGAAGAACTAGCTATTCTTCCTCTAGCCCAGACCTCCTGCACTCTAGTACTATTCTCTATCTCTCCTCCACTCAAAATCAAAAGCTAAGGCCGTTAAAAGGGGGGGGGGGTGCAGAGGAGGGGAAGAAGGAGAACCTTGGTGGAAGGGGCATCTGAGTTAACTTTTAAGCACATGTCCATCTTTCCATTTCATAAAGGCTGATACCAGGACAAGGTTCTACCAGCCATGCCCTCCCAGGGGAGAGGGCTCCAGAAGAGCAGAGGGCATGCAGCAGGACCAGCCTAAGCTGCTCCCGTGACCACCACAGGAAATCACCTCTAAAGACCTAGCCTGGATGGACATCCCTAAGTCTACTTTTTCTTTACTGGGGACAAAGCAGGTATTTTTGTCAGGCAAAAGGCAGGTATTTTTAACTGTCACCTGTCCTTTTTATAGCACGAACACCTTCTTACTCATCTACCTACAATAACCTACCCAACAGGCATTGTAGTCCTGATACCCAATCACCTCAAATGTCACTTCCTCAGGAAGTCTCCCCTGACTCACCCATCAGGAGAGTCAAGCATCTCGTGATTTATAATAAGAAATATATATTTGGTCTTTGTCCTTGTTTCTGACACAGAGCTCTGAAGACCTCTGGAATTTCCAAAATTATGAGAGTGACAAAAGTGAAAGAATCGCTTGTTCTTCATGATGAGGTTCCTTGTGATCACACCAGAGTTCATGTGGTTGACATGATTTGGGGAAGGCCCCAACATCAGGATGGGGACCTGTGATTCCAGGGTTGAATCCTTCAGCCTCACCCCTCCACCCAGGAAGGCTAGAGGTTGAGTTAACATGAGCCAATGATTTGCTCAATACTGTCTCAATAGTAATGCCAGCATAAGGGCCCCTGCAGAGGGTGGCTCCAGGCTGGTGAGCACCCAAAGGTGCTAGAGGGTGGAGCTCCTGCAGAGGGTGGGGGGCACCATGCTCTTCCCACAGACCTTACTTTATGCTTCTCTCACATCTGGCTGGACCTGAGTTGTGTCCTTTAAAAATAAGCTGTTGATAAAGTTAATTCACATATCCAGACCCAGATGACTCACCTCCCAACCCTCACTACCTGGCAGCTCCCTGCACCTTTCTGTCCTTAAATTACCAAAGTTATTCACCCTTTGCCTCTGCTGTTTCCCCACCTGGAATGCCTGAATTCAAATAGCTGACTCTTCCTTAGATCTCAGCTCAAATGTCCTCTCTGAAAGGAAGCCTTCCTGATCACCTTATCTAAGGTTGGCTATCTCTCCACCTCCCAAGTTACACCTTATCACCTCACTTATCTCTCTACAAGTAGTTTACTGACGTGTGTCTACTACATCACCCTCCAGACAGCATGAGAATAGGCACTGAGTCTGGTTCACAATGCAGCCACCAGCACCCAGAAAAGAGCCTGCCACACAGCAGGCAGGAATAAAATATCTAGAGACCTGAGGAGGTGGGACCCTAGGCCTCTGAACCACAGGTGGTGTTGAAAGCCAATGTTACTTCAAAACAAGAAATTCCATTTTTAAAACATCTAAAAACAAAACGGGTATATTTGGTTGCTATGTTTCTCGATTGGTCAAGGATCTGTGCTCCCCATTGTAAACACTGGAAATATGTGACAGTAGAAAAGAAAGAAAGTATATGTAAACAAGAGAAGGGAAGGATAGAAAAGGGAAGTATGCGGGGAAGTAACTGAATTTATTATGAAACGGTGCCAACGAGTAATGCCCAGCAGCAATTACTGGTGCCCCTTCCCTGCTCCGTAACATGCCCTCACTTTAGACTCCTCTTTCCCTCCTTCTAGAGTGGTTCTTCATCTTCCCCCAATGGTCCTCTTTTCCTCTGCCTCACTTTTGTTTCCAGTAGCCCCTTCTTTGGGCATCTGTAGATAAGACAGATGCCCTACAAATAGCTTTCATGTCTACACATGAAATCATGTGAATCACAAAACGGAGGCTTCCTCTCTGCCTATCCCGTCACCACAGTTCTCAGGAAGTAAGTGGACCTTCCTTAAAGTACAATAAACTTTTAATTGCTTGATATGCCAAGCAATCAAGGGCAAGAGTGGAGTGCCCATGGTCATTCCAGCAGTCATCCAAAGTCACTGAGGGGCCCTTCCCTGGTGGGGCTGAAAGTCAGGGAATTCTCAAGTGCTCTGGATCCTCTGCTCCAGGGGAAAGCCACTGAAAGTGTTTCAGACTATGTGGTCTTCCTAAATCAATGCTCATCCTCTGCACATTCAATTTATTTTATTGACAATCATAGAATATGATGCAAAGCCTAAATCAGGACAGTTTCTGGACACATTTAATTGATGTCCTCTGTTCCAACACAAAGAACCTAAATCCCTGAAAAGTATGGAAGCCAATGGCTGTAAGTGAAGTCTATCAGACTGAAGAATTATTACTTTGTATGTCATGAATAAGAGAAAAAAACAACAACAGGAAAACAGCAGAGCAAAGGAAAGGCAACAGCTCCCAGAAGGTTCAGAGGAAGGCACCTCTGAAGATGATTTAACACAACAACCAGAAGAAAAATATTTCAAAAGCTTTGGTATCCATAATAGAGGGCAGGGTTCTGGGCAACTGAAGTCACCCAACCAGAAAGAAAGAACAAGGGGAGATGGACAAGCAACCAAAGATGGACTCGTGCTTCAGAGATGAGTCCAAGGTCAAATTCTGGTTCTGCCCCTCTCTATGTGTCCTTCCAAAAACGCAAACTACCCACTTACAAAATTCATCTCCTGGGGTTCTTGGAAGGATGAAATGAAATTATTTATGCACAAGCATGTCACGCAGAAGGGGTTGTCTGTCACCATCATCTCCCCCTACGTCTTGACCACTATGCTTGTTCCCACATTTATGTGGGGCTCATTCTTGTTGAGTAAATCCCCACCAATTCAATCCTATCGTATTCAGCCTTCAGAGCTCATCAAATGGCACACCTCCTCCAAGAAGACCCCGGGGGATCTGGTCTCTCCACCGGGGGCTTAAATTCTGGATCTCCTATATTCTGCTCTGTTGGCAGAGCAGAAAGGAAGACTGAACCTTGGTGAGCCTCACACTCTCAGCCTCCCTCATCTGTCACCTCAGAATTGACTGGCCCATTCTTTCTCTATAATAGTGCTTTCACTAAAACACATTTGAAAATATTTTGCCTTATATGAATCTCTGATCTCTCATATAAAAAGTCTGAAGGGAACATACACTTTCTAAAATTAAAGGCTGTATAACTACATATTATTTTATATCCTTATCTTGAACTCAAAATAACGCATTAATTGGGCTCTCTGGCTATAAGGAATAAATGGAAAGGGTCTCACCAGCTTCTCAATAATTGCCTGTTGATGGGGTCCTGCCCCCACATGCCTAAACTATACCACCCTCACATCACCCTCTCTGTAAGGGGAGAGGGGAGGCCCAAAAGCCAGGAAGAGGAAAAAGGAGTAACATTGTAGATAAGAGACAAAAGAAGTGAGTGGTTAATTGAGATGTGTAAGTAATCACAGAGTAAACCTGGCAATGGGAGGCCAATCACCAGAATGTAAGTTTGCTGAACTCTTAGGTGACACCTTCAAAACACACCCCATTCTTACCTATACTGTGCTTGAAAGTGGCTTTGCACAAAGCTTTGGCCAGGTGACAGCTTAGCTGATGGGGACAGGAGATTCTCAGAGGTTTTATTGACTTCAGGCTGAAGCTGCAAATAAATGAGGAAAAGAAGGAAGATTAGATATCCCATCCATCACTCCACCACTTCCAGACCCTGGAACTGATACCCCCCACCTCAAGCCCCCATCACACCATCCCTTTCAGACCTGGAATCTGAAGAACCCAAACTTCAATGTTGTTACACTGTAATTCACCACTGCTTAAATTCTGGATCTCCTATATTCCCCAAGAGTGTGTTGGCAGAGCAGAAGGGAAGATTGAACCTTGGTAATCCTCACACAGTCAGCACCCTCACCTGTCACCTCTGGATTGACTGACCACTTTGTTAACTCTGCTCAGGTGGGCCCAATATGTCCAGATCACTTCAAACATGCCCATGCCACTCTCCCCCTCTGCTGCTGCTAACCCATTCCTCCCCAAGCTCTCCAGCAAGCCAGTCTGCACAGAGCACCTTCTTCCTCAGACAAGCTGAGCTTGCTCCTTGGATGCACAAGCCTCCTCATTCTGCACACCAGTCTTAGTGTGTCCTTCTGTACTTGTTTCCAGTAGCTTTTATAACAAACCATCACAAATGGGTGCTCAACAACAGCTGTGTATTCACTCACAGTTTTCAAGACCAGGTATCCAAGTTACTACCACTGGCCAAAACCTAGATGTCAATAAAGGCCTGCTTCCTTCAGAGACTCCAGGAGAGAATCCACTCCATGCCCCTTCTAGCTGTTGGGGACTGTGGGATTTCCATGGCCCATGGCCACATCACTGCAGCCTTTAAGGCCAGCATCTCCAAATCCCTCTCTGCTCCATCTTCACTTGGCCTCCTCTGGATTATCTCAAATAACCTCTGGTTCTTCCATATAAGATTGCATTTAGCATCCACCTGGATAATGGCCCCATCTCAGGATCCTTAACTTTATCCCCAACTGCAACCCTCACCATAGGTAACATCTACAGTTCCAGATGCACTGGGCTTATTTGTTAGCTCACCCACAGCTTGGGTCTTCTGTCTCTATGCAATGCCACCAACTTTCTCTGTACTCCTACCACTTTCAATGTAAGTCACTCAGGCTTTCTAGTCACCTCCATTTTACGTTCTACCTCCTACTTGCTTCCAGCATCACACGCTGGACACAGTCCTCTATCAATCCCTGCTGTGCAAAAATCACAGATGGAGGTCTGTCCCTGGGGATCAAAGACGCCTATGAAGTTATATTTGGTAAAATAAAAAATAAGCTACAAGGAACTACACATGAAATAGGTACCAGAACAGTATCTACTTTATTCATGATCACCTCCCCAAGGAGTGTTTTTAGATATTTATCATGGATTGTCTCCCATAAAATGTTAATACAACAGATCTGCTACACACCTGCTCATGTGCTGTATATCAGTGCTTTGTATTAAACATTTTTCACATCCTCCCCCCACCCCAAGAACTAATTCATGGGTCTCATGAGGGTGGTAATATCCCCTCTAAAAACACAAGGCCCTAGAAAGCAATAGGAGACATCATTTCAGAGATCTGAGTGGAACCTGAGATAAATGTTAAAGAGTTTAGAAAATTCAGGACAGGACCAGGAAATAGAAATGATGTAAAGTGTTTTGGGGGATGTGTACCAGTATCTGCAATTTAACATGCATCAACTAAGATGGGGATGGGGGGAAGGACAAGAAGATAAAAGGGTGGCTACGTGGGTAGAGAAGAGAAAAGCAATTTTAACCAAATGTAAATTGTAAAATCTAAATTCTGGCTATGAAGAGTTACTGAGTACTTAATTTAACTTTTCCATATGCTTGGAATTTTCTATAATAAAATATTAAGAGAAATAAGAATGACAAATACTCATAATAGTCATGCTTATTTGTTTCACAATTTTATTAAGCCAAGTGTGACCAAAACACAGGATATGTAAAGGGAAGTCAAAGCCAAGATGGAGAGTCTGGCGCCACGTCAGGTGGGGTCTTCAATGTTCAAAAGACTCCCTAGCTCACAGAACAGCATGGCGCAAAGGTTGAGAATTAGACTCTGTTTTGGGAACTCGCCTCCAATTGTAAGGAAAACAAGAAGCAAAAAATAAACAAATGGGACTACATCAAACTAAAAAGCTTTTGCACACAATGAAACTGCTGTAAAAATGAAAAGACATCCCACCAAATGGGAGAAAACATTTGTACATCATACATCTAACAAAGCGCTAATAGTCAACTACAGACAACAAACAGATTGCAACAAAAAAAAAGATATCAAGAAATGGGCAGAAGAACTAAGTAGACACTTTTCTAGAGAAGACATACAGATGGCCAACAGGCACATAAAAAAACATTCAAGTCAAAACTACAATGAAAAACTACCTCACCCCCAGTGAGAATGGCCCATATCAAAAAGACCAGAAACAATCAATGTTGGTGAGGATGTGGAGAAAAAGAAACCTACATTATTGGGAATGTAGACTGGGGCGGCCTCTATGAAAAACAGTACAGAAATTCTCAAAATAGATCTACCATATGATCCAGTAATTCTACCCTTTGGTGTTTATCCAAAGGATGCATGTGCATTACAGCACTACTTAAAATAACCAAGCTATGGAAACAAGGACAGACGAGTAGAGCAAGAAGATGTGGAATTACACACGATGGGCTACTACTCAGCTGTAGGGACGAACTCTTGCCATTTGCAACAACACAGAAAGAACTGGTGGAGATTGTGCTTACTAAGTCAGAAGGAGAAAGACAAGTACTGGGATAATTTCACTCATGTGTGGAATATGAGGAAATGAAACAAAGAAGCAAAAACAAGTCCTTGGACTTTGACCGTAGAATAGAGGGTACCAGAGAGGGATGGTGGGTGTGCAAACAAAGAGGGTGGGGGTGAGGATTCAATGGTCTATGGCAGAGGAATGTGGGTACTTTGGAGGTGGGTATGGTGTGGTAGGGAACATATTCCCCTAAATTACATACAGTATTATAAACCAGTGATACCACAATTAAAAATAAATTATATTTGCTAATTAAAAAAAAAAGTGATTTGGGCTCTCCCCAGTGGCACAATGGGTTAAAGTTTCGCATTATGAAGCTCTCCAAAGCCACTGCAGCACAAGTTAGATTCCAGCCAGGGAGCTGACCCACATGGCATGGCAGACCTCTCCTGACCCCCTTTGAAGTGTATTTCAGGACATCTGCCTGTTCTGTTCCCCACTCTGTCTCTGGGGAATCCTCTCACCTATCACACCTCTGACATGTACCCCAGTTCTGTCAGCATCAATAAATAAAAATATTTTTTAAAAAAGTGATTAAGGCCCTCCCTGGTGGCACAGCGGGTTAAAGCACAGCACTGAGAATCTAAAGCCACTTCCGCATGAGTTCAATTCCCGCCTGCCCCGGAGGTGACAACATGGCACATGGCGTGGCAGCCCTCTCCTGACCCACCCGCTGCTCCCCTCAGCAGTGTACTTCGTCAATCTGCCTGTTCTGTTCTCCACTTTGTCTCTGGTGAAGCCTCTCAAAGACCCCTGAGCCTCTGGCCTGTACCCCAGTTCTGTATGCACAAACAAATAAATCTTAAAATCTTAAAAAAAAAGTGATTAAGCTGTTGAGTCAGAGTGCAGGGATCAAATCTCTATATTGACATTTAGCTGGGGGATTTACTCATGCTCTGGTCTCATCAAATAAGTCACTTATGCTCTTTGTTTGATGAGAAATGAATGATAGTGCCTACTGGATTGGGATGTTTTGAGATTAAGAACTAATGTGTATAAAACAGTAGGCCCCAGGTAAGTGTTAGACACTGTTACATCAGGGGAGTATCTTGGGGGTTTTGAACCCAGCTGGTAGCTATATGCACATGGAGGCACTTTAATTGGACAGGCATCCAAAGGAAAAGATTAGGAGGCTCAAGGGTCCAGGTACAACAGGAAGAATTAAATAATAAAAATAAAGAAGGGTGACTTTGAGAGACACCTGGGGTGAAGAGTGCACAGGTAAGCACCTGATACAGGGAGGAGGAGACAGGGGAGGTTAGAAGCAGAACCAACTCCAAGCTGGTGCCTGAAGAATGCCTGTTGTGTTAACAGAGAGGTAAAGTCGAAAGAAATGGGTCAGAGAAGGGCACCCCAAGTTTGAGGATGAACATCCAAATAGTCGTGCTAACAGCAGACAAAGGCCACTCAGGAGCACTCATGGAATGCACAGCAGACACTGGGACTTTTGCTGCCAGCACTCACTCCTCCCTTGGTAACTGCATCCCGTTTGAAACCTGAATCCAGTCTATGGAAAGGGGGGGAAGGCTCCTGTACAGGGGCACTGCCCTGTCCTACCAAAGGACAGGCACATGACCCCAGCTAGACCGGGACATTCCTATTTGTGCACCTGAGCCGTGACCAAAAGGCTGCAACAGAGACCCTGGCGGTGGTGTCCAGGTCAAAGAGCTGAGCAGCTCCTGCCACTGAGACACCCGCCTGGGGCTGCCTGCTTCTCCGCAGTGCCAAGCCTGCATCTTTAACCCTGCAAGCTCCTCCTCAGTCTTCGAGTCAATCCCCATGTTTGAGTCAGCTGAAGTTGGTTGCTGTTACTTGCAAGCAAAGAACCTGATAATGATCCAGGAAGCCTCTGCATCAAGGTGGTATGACAGCATCCTGGTGGCTGTGAATGGGCCACCAGGAGGGGTTTGGAGAGAAACTCCTGAAGAGAGGCCACCCCATGAGGTCAGACCACGCTGGCTGTACTCTGCAGCCAAGTACCTGGAGTATCTCTTTGAGCCTCACTGCACATAAAACGGAGCAGAAGTATCACGTCTACCTTACGGGAACAACACTGAAATCAAGAGGTGAGGTGTGACCTTGCCTAGAGCTAGTTTCCTGGTCCTCTCCCAGCCTGATGTCCTTCTTGGTTCTTTAAGAGTGGCCTTTTTGTAAGACCGACTGCTTGTATGCTGGTTTTCTAGGGGTGGTAAAAACATGGCCTTTGTGCCAGATGAAAACATTTGAGTCTCATTACCAATAATGGAGAAAAAAGTGGTTCTTGTGTTTTCTACTCCTGTTTGAAATAAATGTGGCTATACAGCTTTCATATGTTTGGAAACAGAAGTAATCTCAAAAAGAAAAATTGCTCAGTTACACAGAAGACAGTCCCTTTCTTTCTTGGAAAGAGAGGAAAAGCATCACCAAATGTCCATAACAGCTCTGCTCTTTGCCGGCAAGGCTCACGGGAACTTTCCCAGGCAGTCCAGTTTTCTGAGAATCAATTTCAGGAGAGATTTTGACCCCAGGCAGAAAATGATCTTTTTTGGTTTCAATCAGGGCAAAGAGCAAGCACCAGCAACTCCTCTCTCTGGACAGTGGTCACCCCCTGTGCCTGCCTAGGGCAAACTCCTAAGATGTTTGGCCCATTAAAGGAAAAGAGAGCAGCCAGCATGACCAAGGATGACAAGCAAGGCAGAACAGCCTGGAAGCAGGCTGGTGTTTAGCAGGCCCAGGCAGGTAGGGTCCTGTCAGCCACATAGGAGTCTACATTTTGTTCTGAATGCAGTAGGAAGTGATTAGAGGAAAGCAAGTAGGGAGAGTGACACAGTCTTACTTCCTTTCTGGAAGATCATTGACTACAGTGCAGAGAACCTATAGCAGCTGGAACATTGGAAAGGGAAAGTCCTGTCCTGGTTGCTTTTATGTGGGTCAGGAAGAGGTTAAAAAGAATTACTGGCAAGACTTCTTGGCTTAAAGTAATCTTAAACAAAGGTGGGGGCAGTGCAAAGTGGTTAGGAGCAAAACCTTTAGAAGTGATTCTCAACTGGAGCGCACTGGCATCTCATGGGGAAGAACAAGCTACAATGCACAGCACAACCTCTCGCCAGGGAATTCCTGGCCCCAAAGGTCAATAGGTCTGAGATTAAAGAAAACCTGTTCTGGAGACACATTTCCTAGATTTGAAGTCTGGCTCTCCCACTGGCTGACCGTGTGTCTTGGGGCAAGTTACTTAACCTCCCTGTGATCTTCCCTACCCATAATCCCAATGCCTTCTCCTGTCCCTGAGGAATATTGTAGGCAGATGAAAGGCAATTTAGAAACTATCTCCCACTTTCCAGTAGGAAGAGTTAGCTGGCATAGCCAGGGACAGGGGAGGTGGAGGGCAGAGGACAAGCAATCTTTCTGAGAAGCCAGCAGGAAGAGGTAACCTCCAGTACCCTTTCACCCCTTGGTGGGAAACAAAGAACTGAGATGGCACAAGCTACAATGATGGAAAGGATTAAGCACACTGCCTTTGAAAATGATTCTCATTCAATTCTATTCCCATCAAAAAAGTCCAGTGAACATGGGCAACTTATTTAACCTAAGCTTCCATGAGCTGTAAAATATGAACTATCCTGACAAATATTAAAACATGATCACTATTTAACTTACTCAACCATTCAAGAGTTTACTGAGTACTTCTTATGTGTCAGGTAGAGAACTAAGTCATGGAAACATCAAGTTAAATGCATGGCATAAACAAATATTTGATACGTATTCTTTTTTAAAAATACATCCTTATTTCAAAATGTGCTTACTCTAAGATCATGGAACACGTGGTGCCATAGACATGCTTATCTGTCCAAAATTCAATCGTTGGTAGAAGCAATCTACCCCACATCTATAGAAACCTTCCTTAGCTATGAGATTCGCATACATACACAGGTCTGCAACCCAAGTGTTCCTATTGGAATATTTACTTCTGCTGGTCACCTGCACAGCTATGGACATGTGACCCAGCCTGGATAGTCAGAATCTACCCTGAACTTTTTTTTTTTATGAAGTATTTATTTATTCATACAGAACTGGGGTACAGGCCAGAGATGAGGAGGGTGAAAGGATTCACCAGGAACAGAGTAGGGAGCAGAACAGGCAGATCGACAAAGTACACTGCTGAGGGGAGCAGCGGGCGGGTCAGGAGAGGTCTGCCACGCCATGTGGAACTCCTCCAGGGCAGGCGGGGATCGAACTCATGTGGAAGTGGCTTAAGCTTCTTAGTGCAGTGCTTTAACCCACTGCGCCACCAGGGAGGGCCTCTACCCTGAACTTTTTATGTAAAAAAAAGCACTAAGCTCTAAGGAGCTTATGTAGTTTTTACACAAAATGATATGTACTTAGCCCACTCAATCTAAGAATAAAGCCAGAGACAAAAGATAGAAATCAAAGACCTGGTAACATCATCTGAGTCCTTAGACCTAATCTTACCTGAAGCTGGATCAATCTTTGGACTTGCCAGTTATAAAAATGAATAAATGCCCTTTCTTTAAGTTGATCAAGTTCAATTTCTATAACTTATAGTGAAAAGAGTCTGAATAAGTTAAACTAAAAATCATTATGAATAAAAGCAGTATCACCCATAATCCCACAACCCAGAGAAACCACAATAACCTTTAAGTCCTCCCAGTTTGTGCTAAGGGGATGTTTTTCTTCTGTTTCGTCTCTGTGTTTAGGAGTATCTGGGATAGTTCTTTTTAAAGGAGACTTTTAAGAAAACAGACACTTAAGCTTGATCTCCTTAAACTTGAGTCCTTATTCTGTCCCTTCTTTAGCTGTGTTACTTTGGGAAGGTTACTCAAACTCTGACTCTTGATTTACCTGTATGTAAAATGGGAATAACCCTGGAAGAGCTCTGAACATGAGAGTAGTTATTCATTCTGTATATAACACTCCAAGATGTGGTGTGAAGAATAGAGTACTACAAGATCATTATTTCCTTTATCCCCAGCCCATAGCAGCCTGCCGTATTGGGAAGATAATATTTGGCTACAGGGACAAAGCTAAAAAAAGAAAAAGGTTAAATGTATTTAAATGTATACACTGTGATGGTTAGATGCATAGCTACAGAGTGAAATAATCCTACAATCTACTCTCATACCTTCTCTGGTAAGTATACCTGATACTAACTGTCCTAACAATCTCCAATATCCAATACAGTCTATAGTCACCAGACTGTACATTCCGACTCTATACTTACTCATCCTGTATCATGGCAACTGCCACTATCACTCTAGAATGAGGGACTGCAAGCAGGGAATGGAAGGGTGGGAAGGTATGATTAAAAGACTTAAACACTTCCAAAGGGTTTTTTAACTGATCCCTGAGAGGGACAGGAATAAAGTGACTAGATGGAAAACAAACCAGGTAAAGCCATTTCTCATAGCTGTACTGGATTCTCCTAGCTGTATGTATTGAGACATCAAAAGCCATGTGGTACCAATTAATTACTAATGTTTGTGAAGCAGCTTTTAAATCGCAGCAGATTATTCAGCTAGCATTACAGTACTTTGCCTATTCAAGGCACAATAATTTCATTGGCTTCTACTTTCTTACGTGAGATGAAAGCTAGCAAGAGAGCATAGCCTGTCATCAATCTTTATTTCGCAAAGTCCACAGAGAACATGTGTCAATTAACTGTGGCTCTAACAAGTGCTTTCTTGCCCCAAAGATTGGAGGTTTCATCAAATTCTGGGGATGCTGAGTACACACATATAAAATTCACCCACCCTGTGTCACAATAAAGTGTGAATTTATAGCTCTAAGACACATAACTGAGGAGGCCATGGTGGAGTTCAGATGGGACTATTTGAAAATATCTAGAACTGGTACCCATGGCCTCAGACAACCATGCCAATGTATTTGATATTGATAAAATGAGATTTTTTAAACTTTGAGTTAAAGGAAATTCTATTCATGGTCTCACTTGGATTAAAGTGGGTGAAAATACTGCAATGGGAGGAAATGCCTTGTCTAAAACAAACAGAACAAAAAGCAAGGCACAGGAACAGTCCTGTGTACACAGGAACCAGAGCCACAGGCATCTCAGCTGAATTCCAAGATTCAATTCCATGGAGCTGAGGAAACACTCAAGGACAAAAAGGACACTCAGATGCAATCAATACCTTCTCAGACGCTGGCCCCGGGGACGACCCCTCCAAGTCCTCGTGCACACGATCCAGTAACCAGAGCAGGAACTCCAAGGCATCATGCTGGGAATTGCCTTGGAACTGAGATCCGTACTTGGAGACAGCATTCTGAAAGGGAAGGAAAGACAACCAAAGGGTTAGTTTGGCCTTCGAGCAACCAGAGTCTCCATGTGCCAATGTCGGAACAATGTCCTCAAATGTGCCTGATCGTTGGGAGCAATGTCCCCAAATACCATGAGGGTCGTCTGTATAGAAGGCACCTTTTCTCTCAGAAAGACTAATATATGCCCCGTACTTGAAAAACCCACAGGAATGTCTGCTGGATATTTGACTACTACTTAGCATCTGCCCTCTCTGAAACTCTTGTCCTCTGGTTGTCTGGGTCCATGGCTGTCAGCCCCTTCCATGAGACAGTTTCCATACTGTCTCTCTCTGTTCTCCCAATGTGAATAACATCTTGCCCTGCACATTCCCTCAGTAATTTCATTAATTCCCATAGCTTCATTCTTTGTGAATCACCAAATGGTGTAGGCAAGTGGACTACTTTAAATACCACACCTGAAGCTCCTTCATAGCCGCTTCCTAATGTGTGTGAAATATAAGAAGCACCAACTTCTCTTTCTATGATTAGATCACCAAATAGTTGAGTCAGTCTTTCATGTCTTTAATAAATATTTATTGAGGGCCTACCATGTGGCAGACACTATTTTAGGACTTGGGACACAACCATGAACAAGACAACAAGAGTCCCTGCTCTCGTTTAGTTTCATTCCCCCACTCTGCTGTTAAGTTGTGGAACAACTTTGCCATTTTCCATGTAAATGCATGTTCCAGTTTCTTAAAAGTTCACTTCAATATGTGTATTACACACACATATATTTTATTCAAAATTTTTATTTTTTTTTTATTTTTTTTTAAAGATTTATTTATTTATTCATACAGAACTGGGGTACAAGCCAGAGGCTCAGGGGCGGTGAGAGGCTTCACCAGAGACAGAGTGGGGAACAGAACAGGCAGATCTATGAAGTACACTGCTGAGGGGAGCAGCGGGCAGGTCAGGAGAGGTCTGCCACACCATGTGGTCACCTCCGGGGCAGGCGGGATCGAACTCATGCTGAAGCGGTGTTAGATTCTCAGTGCTGTGCTTTAACCTGTTGCGCCACCAGGGAGGGCCCTATTCAAAATATTTTTTAAAGGATGATGATGAAAAGTCTTCCTTTTACCAGCTTCCACCAGGGTGCTCCTCTCCAGAAAGGCACTTTCTATTTATTTATTGCTTTGTTTGTTTATTGCACACAAGAGCTGGGGTTCAGGTCAGAGGTGCAATGGGTAAGAGGATTCCCCGGAGACAGAGTAGGGAACAGAACAGGCAGGTGGACTGAAATACACTGCTGAGGGGAGCAGCAAATGAGACAAGAGAGGTCTACTGTGCCATGTGTGTCACCTCCCTGGCTGGGAATTGAACTCATGCTGCAGTAGCTGCAGACAGCTTCATAGTGTTGCACTTTAACTCACTGCACCACCAGGGAGGGCCCAGAAGGGCACTTTCCAGGGATTTTTTTTTAAATGCATGTGCAAGCACGAGCCTCTGAATGTAAGCAAAACCCCTCCTCTGTGTACGTGTAAACAGGCATGCACACACAGTGCACTACAGCTGGCTGTCCTGCCTATAAACTGCAGGCCCTGGCATTGAGCCTCATTCCACCCAGATCTGTTCTCTGTTCACACCCACCGAAGGGTGCAGTCTGAGCAAGACTGTGGACCTGAATAATCCTCATCATTGCCAATCAAAGCAAACAGCCTGGGCTTTTTTTTTTCCCCTTTCTTTATTCTTCTTGGGGGAGTTAAAGGAAATTTTAGGATGAGATGAAACAAAATTCTGAACCTTTATTCCACTCTCTCTGCTTTGGGCTCACTGGAATTTAGACTGATTCCCCCAGGCTTCTCTGTATTTTGACCCCCTAAATAGGGATGCCAGATTTAGCAAATAAAAAATACAAGACACCCAGTTAACTTTGAATTTCATATAAACAATGAATGTTTTTAGTATAAGTATGGACCGTACAATATTTGGGATATGTTTATACTGAAAAGTTACCTATTGTTTATCTAAAAATCAAGTTTAACTGGGCACTGCATATTTTACCCAGCAACCTAACCCTTAACCACCCTTAAACCTATATGATTAATACCAGCACTCTCTCCTAGGGGAGCAGCCAGACCCACCAACTCAAAATCTCTATATCAACTCTTCCTGATATGATCAGTGCCCTCTTTCAGATTCTCTCTCATGCCCACCTAAGTCAGTGGCAAGCATTTTGGATCTGGCTCCTGAAATGTCTCTGCACCATCCCTTCTACAGAATTCCATTCCCATGGCAGCACCTACCCCAGGCAGAACCAAGTCTGAGATCCTCTCTGTCAACCCACCACTTTCAACATAGAACACACCAATTTCCCTAGAGCCCAGGCTGACATGCCCTTACTCCAAGTCACTGTCTGTTGTTACTGACCAAATAATAATCCAAACTTCTTCTCAGGTCTGGCCCTAGCTGTGTCTTTCACCACTTACCCATGTGGTTCCAAGTTCTATGTAAACGATCACTCAGGTGCCCCCAAAACACATTCCTACTTCTACACCTTATACCCTTACTTCTTCCTTCCATGGGCAATCCATTCTCCCGCTAATCATACTAATCCTTTAATCTGACCTCTTCAGTTTAGGCCAGCTGTAAAGCCATATAAACTTTTCAGAAGGAATGTCTCAACAACTTCAAGAAGATAGGGGAGATAAGGCCTTTATAAACAAAGTAATTCCTCACTAAAATTTAGTCTAAGAAAATGAGGGATATAAAGCAGGTATTTCTAGGTAGTCAATTTATAAGGGGAAAACTTGTGGCCTGCTCATATTAAATGTCCTTAAAAATTATGCTTGAGTAGATAATGAGAAAAGAAATGATCCTGTCATTTAAAGAGTACTCTATATGTGTATATGTGTGCTTATATGTGTATATATATTCTAAAACATAATGGTGATGACAGCACCCTATATGTGTGTATGTATGATATATATATATAAATATTTGAAATTGATTTTTATATATTTAAACATTCAAAGAAGACCAGAAAATATGTGGTGAAAATATTAACACCTGGTGGTCATAAAAGGATAGGATCATATGTAATTTCCTTTGCATTTTGATTTGTACAGTGAACCTTATATTCTGTATTGATCTTTCTCTAATTATAACAGCATCTGGCAAGTATTTTACAGAATTTGTAAAATAACTTTATTGATTCCCACAGAAAACTCTCCAATAAAAGTCTATTAAAATGAGGCCAGAAGGGCCTTCCTGGTGGTGCAAGGGGTTAAGGTCTCAGCACTATGAAGAAATGAGTAGCCACAGCAGCACCAATTCAATCGCCGGCCAGGAGCTGACCCACAGGACACAGCAAACCTCTCCTGCCTCACCTGCTGCCCCCCCTAAGCAGCGCATTTCAGTAGATCTGTATATTCCTCTCCCCACTCTGTCTCGGGTGAATCATCTCACTGCCTGCACCTCTGGCCTACACCCCAGTTCTTGTATCCATAAATAAATAAGTCTTTTTTAAAAAATGTGGCTGGAACCCAAGGGGATTGCAACTGACATGGAAAAATGTACAAAAAATATGTAAAAATAAACTAATATAATAATTTAAAAAAAATGTGGCTGGAACTACATTTCAAGCCAACCACTAAATTGGGAGGACTGAAGAGCAATACAGAAATTCCTCACTTAAAGTCAACAACAGGTACCTGGGAACTGCAATTTTAAGTGAAATGAGGAAATGAAACCAGGTCTTCAAATAAGTGATTTCGTTCGAAGTCAACCAGGAATTTTATCTCATCTTTATCACAAAAGGACATTATTAGAGGACTTGCTGCATTGGTATTTGTATGCTGCAACACAGCATAGCTCCACCTGTGTGTGTATGTGATATCCTCTCAACACTGTTAATATTTAACCTATTTCTATTAAAACTATTCCTGCTAATTTCATATTTCTGGTCATTTTTATCCATGAAATCTAATTTTCAGGTTTTCCATGGATATGCTTTTCAATTTCTATTTTGGATTTGACCTTGTTAGTGGCAGCACTAATTCTAAAACATAGATTTATAGAACCACTTAACCATTTTATTTCTGTTCAATACTTTTTATTCCACTTCATTTCATGACTTACTGTTCTGTTCATAAGTTCCAAAACATAATAGTGGTGAAGAAGGCATCCTTGTTTTTAAAAAGCAATGTCATTAATATATCAACTGATGCTCATGGTATGTCTTAAATTGATCCTTAAGCATATAAGCAAGACAAGTTCCAGATGGCTGAAACCCTTCCTATAATCAGAGAAAAATTAGAGACACATAAAAGAGTTCATCAAAGGGAATGACATAAATAAAACTAAAATTTCCACTATTGGGTGAGAGTCAAAAAGAGGGTTTGGAGAAAATATTTGCAGCCACTATAACAAGGGTTGAACATTTATAGAGAGAAGTGAAAGGAACTGGAAGCCCAAGGCAGAATGAACAATTGACAAGAACAAGGAGAGACTTACAACTAGTCAAGAGCTCATGGAAAAGTCCCACACCTCACTCCTACTCAAAGAAATATAAATGAAAAAAGACCCTATTCATTTTTGTTTATCAAAAGACTAATGTTCAGGAAAAGAGGATCACTGGTGCATCTGAAACTTGATATAACTATTTGAAAAGAAACTTGACAATGTGGGTAGCTAAAAATAATCAAGCCCAATAAGGTTGATTTTAAAAGGAAAAAAGAATATTTTAAACCAGGATGGTGACTATATAGGGACACACATGTCAAAACTCATCAAATTCTACATTGAAAATGGGACATTTTTATTCAGCCATGAGAAGAAAGGAAATTCAGCCCTTCATAACAACAAACATGAACCTTGAGGACACTGTACTAAATAAGCCAGACAGAGAAAGACAAATATTATGTGGCATATGGGATGCAAAACTGTAAAAGTGAGAGTATACCAGTGGTTTCCAGGGGCCTTGTGCTAGGGGAGAGCAGCGAGCAGGGGCATTTAAGCCTGTAAACTTGCAACTAGTAGATAAATAATTCCTGGAGAATGAGCACACAGTTCAATGATCACGGACAACAAAATTGTATTAAAAACATTAAATTTGCTAAGAAACAATATTTTAACTATTGCCAACACTATGGAAGAAATAATTGTGACCCAACAGGCATTTTGGGTAATGCTACAATGGCATACATTGCATGTATATATTGCAAGATAAATGCATCAAATTAATATGCTCTATATGTTAAACTTACACAGCACTGTATATCAAACAAAATTTAGGGAATTTTTAATGTGCTTTTCACTGTATATAATGTACATGACAATAAAGTTGATTTAAAAAACAAAATAAAGTAGTCATATCTTCACTGTAACCATATGATTTCTTTCATGGAATTAAGCTCATGGAAATGATTAGAGTTGAGAGCAATGATTTAAATATAAAAGTTTTCAATGCAATATAATTATGGGAATATTGTTCAGTAAATAAATAACCCACAGGGATTGAGTCATTTGATAAAATGTGATTCAATCATTGAAAATTAGGTTTTGTAAAATATTTTAATGAAAAGGAGAAAAATCTTACAATACTTAAATAAATAAAAAAAAAGTATATAAAACTAGAATATCCAATTGTATATGCTTTGAAATACATCAGCATATTTATGAAGGTTACTTTGAGGAGGTGGATTCTAGATCATGTTTTCATGTTAGCAGTTCCCAGTATTTGTAGGGAACACATATTTAGTGTTATTTAAAAAGCAAAATATTATAGACAAGAGGAAGGCCGAGATTTAAGTGTACTTATTTTACCTACTTGCTCCTTAAATAGAGGTCCAGCTGTGTGTGGGAGTTCAGTAAATCTGAGCACAGGAAGAAGGGACACCTCATATTCATCCCATTCAGACAGCTGTGGTTAGGGTATGGGTATGGATATGGTTACTCCAGCATGCTGGACCCTTTTCAATTTCCTCCCTTCCTCCCAAACACCAAATGTCTAAACAAGACCTTAAGTGACTTGCTTATACCCAACGAGATCTCCAGCCTCTTCCTCAGGTACATTGGCTTTCATTAATTCATCTAATCATCCATTTGTTCTACCCAGTCAGCAGATGGCTGGTCCCTTGGCCCCAACACCCTCAGTGATTACACCCTCCTTTGTCTGTAGCTGACCCCTCATTCTCCAAACTCAATGATTACCTCCCCTGAGAGGCCTGTCAAACCCACCTTATCTTCATCCTCCACCCAACCCCCCATTAATCATATCCTTCTGCCATAATTGCAACAGAGCCTAGTATTTTTATTTTCTAGCACTTGTCCCCAGTTCTAATCATGTATACTCATAATTGTTTCATTAACATCTACTTCTCCTACTGGACTGTAATCAGCACTTTAAAAGCCCAAATTCTGGAGTCCTTTCAAGGCTGGCTACTCAAAATGTCCCAGGAAACCCTAGGTTATATCATCCTCATTAACAATTAAATTATCCTTCAGTTTCCCAAGGCTCTCTGGGAGCTTCCAGGCCCTCGGGATTTGAGAGCAGGTCAGAGATAGGAAACCCATGAGTCACTGAAGGTGATTACTAATTTGCAAGATTTTCCCAAGCTACTCCTGCCTCTTCTGTCACTGCAGTAACTGGATGGGACTAGATCTGGCCTGAAAAAATGTACAGAGGTCACCTCCTTCCTCCTCAAGGGATCTATCTGCAGGGGAGGAAGAGTTCTGATAGATTCTAAGTGTTTATGGTTCCACTGCACAGGTGATAAAAGATGAGTCACAGCAAGATTTCATGACTTGCTCAAGGTCATACAGCTCCAGAACCCACCATAACCACAATGCCATTCCTACTTAAAAAGTGAATGTTGCCCAGAAGAGCTATTAATAACACCCATTGGACCTGGTGACTCCTGCGGAAGATTGCTTCACTATTGGAAGCAGGAGAAAGTAGGGGTTGGCATCCTTCTGGGTCACATGGCAAGGATTGCTTTCTCAGGTTGAAACTCAAGAGCCGTGATGCTTGTGGAATGAACACTGACAGGTTCTCCCCTCCCCCAAGAACAACAACCACTAGTCAATGGGGAGCTTCAGCTCTCTGCCCAGAGCTGTGTTTTTTTAGCAGGAAACAAGCCATGTGCATCAATTATCAAAAACGCTTTAATCCAACTGGGACCCCCAACAAAGACCCTGCTTTAACCCAGGGTAAAGTGACACACAAGATTTCCAAAGCGTCATACTCCTGCAGCATCCTGAATAAGTACACGTTGATACTGGAGACAAGGAATGCGACCCTTGCTGTCCATCTAGGGAATTTAATTAGCACTAAACAAAAGGATGCACACCCACTGCTTCCCTGGGTCATTCAGCACAGTATCTGGCCCACAGATTTTCACCTTCCACTGGCCTTAGAAAAGACCCTTACCAATGTTTCCAAAAATTATATGCTCTGACCAACCTCATCTATGCTTCATTCTACCCTACAGGGCTGCAGCCAAACTAGTTTTTATCCAAGCCTCTGAGTCTCAGCTGTGGCCCTTGTGTTTGCTGGTCCCTCTACCTGGTTTCCTAGAAGCTGACTGTCCCCTCCTCTAGACATTCACATCTCAATAATGCAAGCATCACCTCCTTCCTTTGAGGTCTTGGTCTTCAAAGTCCGAGAGCCCCCCCCCTCCACCCCTAAATTGAAAAATACCCCTGCATTTACACAATGTCTGACAGGCCTTCAATACATCAACAAATGTTCCTTGAATGCAATAATGTCCGCACACACTCAAAACTACCTTCACCAACCACCACGGAGCCCCCTCCAACCCCTACACCTGGAAGAAATTAATTCAGAAAGACATATGCAAGCGGTGATACAAAGCAAAATAAAAACAGAAACCGGAGATGAATTGGTGAATGCCATCTAAAGGAAGCCCAAGAAAGCCCTTTCCTGGAGGGACACACACTTTTCTAGAAGTGAAACTAGAAGAGTCAGATGAGGTTGCCGCCCAGGGCAAGGGCGATAGGTGGCAGAGCGCTGCCTACCTTGAACTGGGCGGAAAGTTGCGGCGTGTATTCGCGCGTCCAGAGCGCGCGCACCAGCGCCGCCAGCTGCTCGGTGACCTCGGCGCGGCCGGGCGCCGCCCGGTAGCGCCCCAGCGCCAGGAACTCGGCCAGCAGGTCGGTGTTGCTGAGACACTGCACCACGGCGTTCATGAAACAGGTGTTGCCATGATTCTTCAAACCCTGCGCGCCCGGCGGCCGCGCCCAGTCGCCGGCGGAGAACTGGGGCTGGGGTCTGGGCGGGCGCTCCTCCCCCGGGCTCCCCGGGGCGACTGGAGATGGGCCCGGGGTGCAAGCAAAGCCCCCCTCACCGTCGCCATCGCAGCGTCCCGGCTGGGGCTGGGGCTGCGGCCGCGGCGGCGAGTCTCCGGGGCGGGAGTGGCTGCCCAGCGCCAGCAGGAAGCGGCTGAACAGGCGGCGCAGGGAGCGGCGGCGGCGGGGTCGGGGCGCGGGCGGCCCCTCTCCTGACTCGGCCCCTGGGCCCAGGTCCATGAGTCCCGCCAGCGCGCCTCGGCGAGCAGAACTGCGGTCCCGCTGCGGACGAGCCGCTAACAGGCCGTAATACCTTGGGATATCGCCCGGACGCCGCTACCTGCCGGCCAGGTGTGCCCGGACCGGGAGGAGGCGGAGCCAAGGGCGGGGCCGCCCCGCCCCGCGCGGGAATCCGGCCTCAAGGCCCGCCCCGGGGCAGCTCTCGGCCACCCCCACTCCCGCCTAGTTCCGCCCCCCGCGGCGCAAACTGGGAATAAAGACACTGGCAGTCTCCAGCTTCAGGTTCCCCACCCTATCTTGAAGGGTGACCTGAACTTAACCCTGCTGCTATGGAATCAGAGGAATGATAAATCTGAAAATTCACGGAAGATTGCAAAGCCGTCTCTCTCAACTTATTGTAATTACGTCCAGGTGAATAGGAAGAGAGGGCAACCTCTGGCATAGTGAGAGACACCCACAAGGTGTGTGAAAGGGTGTGCGGCCCTTAAGAGAGCCGCTGGTGCCTAGCAAGCTCAAGTGTGTGCGCACCTTCTCCCAGCGGGTTTGCAGGGAGCTTCTACCGGGAATCATTACCGGTGATCAGAGCTGAGGGCCGCCTGTTCCCCCGCTTAAAAAACCCGGGTTGGTCATGCTTTGCTTTCTTATACTACAAAGTAGGTTAGAGTCATTTTCCAAAAACTTGAGAGACTTGGTCATCGTCGTTTAATTGTGACGAAGGGGGTCTCAGAGAGGTTAACGTAATGTCCCGGGAGCTCAGCAGAGGAAGAGGAGCTCAACACGGGTCTGAACTGCCCATCTCACGGGTTGGATCTTTTAATCTCAGTTGTTTCCTTACCAGGAAGTTTTCTGGCTGTCAGGGAGCACTAAGAACATTCCCCCTTCCGCTCACACCTTAACGTAAAATCGGGTTGAATTGTTGCCCAATCATATCTGGCTTGGCCCTGCCCCCAGGTGATTCCCTGGGTGACTATGGAGGCCATGGCTGACTTTGTCCTGTAACTGTCAGGTTTATAATTAATCAGGCAAAGGTTTGCAAAAATGGTGTTTATGTCAACTTATCGCTCAAAAGAGATCAGCAGGATGCATTATTACATCAGCAACCTGAAATATTACTTATTGTTTGATAAATAAGTAATCGGTTACTATGAGGCATTGGCTAAAGGACAGAGAATATGCATAGGACACAAGGCTGTACTGTGAAATGTAGTGCTTCTGCACGATGCCAGATACCCTCTCTGAGAAGGATGGCGTTTGGATGATTAATACACAGGCCGTGGTGGTGGGTGTGTTAACATGTGATGGCCACAAAGTGGTTTTTTTTTTTCAATAATACAGTCCATTTCCTTGCCCTTTGGATGATAAGCAGAGGAGATCAAATTTTTTATGGCCAACTCCAAAAAGCATCTACAAAATTCCATCTTTGATAATCACCCAGATATCCCCAGACACACACTTGGGTTTTTTGTTGTGTTTTTTTTTTTGGGGGGGGGAGGTTGTTGTTTAGGGAGGGGTTTAAAAAAAGGTACTGTTGTTTATGTTTAACTTTACTCTGTCAGAAATTCTGCCAAGTCTTTAATACACTATTTCACTTAATCCTCACAATAAACTTCTATTAAGAATTTATTCTTTGCAAAAGAAAAAAAAAACAGGGGCCTTAGAAAGTTTTAAAAAAGCCCTGCCCAAGATGTGGATTCCAACCCCAGTCTTGTCCTATGCAGCTTGAACAATGAAATGCTGATTAAGAAGATGAGCTCACCTTCTTTATTTTTAGAAGATAATAGCAATACTATCTGTGGACAATCCTAAGAGCTGTAGGTTTTGCAGAGTCAGAGAAAAGGGATTATGACAGGAAATCAACACCAAGAATTTATTCATAATAAAAAAAAAACTTTTATTGCAGCCTGGACAAATTTTTGAGAATCTATTCCAGTTTTAATATACAACTTCAAGAATGCAGAATGCATTTCTACAAAAGAGAAAAATACAGATAAGATATGCTGACTAAAGAACAAAAACAGATGGACTAAATCAAGACCAGCCTTGTTGTTAACTAAGCTCAGTCTTCAAGAGAAGCGTGTGAGGTCTCAGTGGCTTCATGAGGGGAACGGGTATTTCCATCTCAAAATGGCTCCGTCGGCACTTACACTGATGATGTACTGATTTCCTGGGCTTATCCGGATGCGTGTGATATTGCCACTGTGTCCCACCCCAACATGAGTCACTTCACCCTCGTTATAGTCCCATACTTTGATCAGATGGTCATTTCCACCTGAGGAAGACAAAGAATTATATGGCATTGTGGAAACGGAATAGAAACAAATGTGACTCCAAATCACGGTATCATTTTCAGCACAATCACCATATGCTAACTTAAAGGAAGAAAAATTTGTCTTTGTAATAAGATCTTTCTTTGATTTAAAAAACTTAGTTATGTTGTAATAAACACGGAAGAAAAAATACCAAGAGATGACTTTACCCTTGATACCACCACCCAGAAATAATCCCTAATACCATCTTGTTTTAATTCCTTCCAGTCTTTTCTCTACATATACATCTATATATAAGTGTTTGAATCACACAATGGCTAGTTTTATATCTAGCTTTCAGAAATTTATTTGGAGCATTTGAAGAATCAAAGGGTCTGGCAACAATGATACTGATGTCCCTATAGGCATGCTGTGTGTTGAATGTGCCCTAGAAGTGCTGATTTTTAAAAGTCTGGCATTTAAAACTTCACTAGAAAATAATATCACAGGACACTGGTGAGCCAGCCAGCCCATTTAAAAACCCATTTCTGTGGGCCTCCCTGGTGGTGCACAGATTAAAGTCTCAGCACCATCAAAGCATTACCAACCACTGCAGTAAGAGTTCAGTCCCCAGCCAGGGAGCTGACCCACCAGCTATAGCAGACCTCTCCAGTCTCACCTGCTGCTCCCCTCAGCAGTGTATTTCAGTAGATCTGCCTGTTCTGCTCCCCAGTCTGTCTCTGGTGAATCCTCTCACACCACCTCCCCCACCCCTACCCTCTGACCTATACCCCAGTACTTAAGCGCATAAATAAAAATAAATCTTTAAAGAAATAAGCATCCATTTCTAGTACTGATGCCTACAACAACAAAAAAAGGTAAGCAATATGAAGCTTAGTTCTTGTTTGTGTCCCTAAAACTCCTGGGCAAACATTGCCCCTCACTGAAATGTTAAGTTCTGGATTTTTTTTATTCTAGCCACACTGGCTCAGTGCGCAGGCCAGAAAATTACCACATTGCCCTTTAGACCCTTTTGCTGATTCTTCTATTTTCCTCCTGCCTGGGAGGTTCCCTGTTCCCATCTAAGTAAGCCAGGCATGGCTTTCTTTTCTTATCCCAGAACTAACCTGTAACAAAGTGTACTCCTTCCTGTGTGATATCCATACCATTTATTGATCCAGACATGGAACCTTCCAACTCTCTGATTACTGACCCATCAAAGACTTCCCAGTAAGCAATCTGGAATTTAAGAAAGAAGCATTCAGCAGGGAATCATTTCAGTGGAATCATCCACACACATGCTAACAAAAGAAGATTCTACTTTATATAGAAAGTGGCAAAAATATACCATGGGTGAGTATATAGGCTGGGATTATAAATAGGCTACTGCAGAGAGTGGAAAAATCACTTTAATATTTTTAGTAATGGTTTTAGAATTTGCATTCTATTTAAAGGGTTGTTGATAGGTTGATAAACGCAGACTGTGACAGAAAGTGCTTCTGATTAGACTAAGCAGATTGAGTTGAAGCAAGCTGAACAAGAAAGAAAAAAATTACCCCACAACCACCACCACTGTCTCATTTCTGCTCTCACAGGGGAAGAGCAAAGGTCCAGGTCTTGTGAAGGAGAAAGCATTTTCTTCCTTCAGATGAGATAATTAGTCCAGAAAGTTCTAGAAGCTGGACTTCTTATAGAGTCACTGTCTCCTGACCCTCCCTTTTCTCCCCACCTATTCTGCAATTTTTTCTTCTGTTTGAAAACTACATTCCATGGGGTGGGGTTTAAAAACAAACTGATGACATCAGCCCTTCCCAGGGAGACGTCCTACTTTGGGCAGGTGGAGAGCAGGAGAGACCCGCTCAAGTAAGGGAGAACTTTCTCTGAATATGCTGCTCTTAGACATTTTAAACTTCAAGCCTTATACATCTTGAATTTTATTCAAGAATAAAATTCCTTTCTAAATATAGGACATTTCACCAGGTGCATACATTCTACCCCTTTCTCTCTGTTTTAGTCCATGAAATTTTGTGTTCTCCTGTCATTATGCTAGGAGCTGTTTTCTCTCAATCTAGCTAGATTTTGTATATGCTTTTAAAAGCATATTTTTTGCCTTATGATTTCGATTGATGCTTGACTGTTTTAACACAAAAGTGCTACCTTCAAATTAACAAGATAGAAGATGCCAAAATCCTTATTTCTCAAGAATTATACCCACAGAAGTAGTTGATGCCTTGACTATCTGCCTAGTTGGCTAATGAAGTCAAAGTGAAGGTCTCCTACTGTTAAAGGAACAGAGAAGACCAAACTCCCAGTCAGTGGGAAATGCTCATAGGGAAGGCCAAACTTGCCAGGCTCTACTCCTGACAACTTTCTGGGTTCTAACCCCATCTCCTCCACACTGCAGAGATCTCAGGCACTGAGCACTGCGACTCCCAGCTAGTGATGGGCCTGGCTTCATGAATAGGGGTAAGCAGATATCTGGGAAACTAGGGATAGGGGCTGAGGAACCACATTGAGCCTTAATAGCCAGAAGACAGGCTGGCCTCAGGGCCTCATTCTGGCTTTTTTGGCTTGAGATCACACTCTGCTCTCCGCTCATATGGTGCTGTCTTCACAGGTATCTGGCCAATCAATCTCACTCACTCGCTCTGTGTCTGTCTTCTCTCTCTTCCCTTCTCTCCCTTACAGGGGTTGCCCTGTAATACTAGGGACCCCAGACTTTCCTTAGTACCCTCCCTGGGTGGTCTTCCCTGAGATTCTGTCACTCAGTCCTCCACTCAGATGATTGCTGATCACTCCAGCTAAAGCAATTTTCTCCCACCTAGTCAGTTTTATATAACCTGTTTCATTTTCTTTTGCCCTTCACCATCTTATGTAATCTTATGTACTTACTACTCATTGTCCATCCATCTATTCTTTTACATGTGTATTGCCCCATTCTGCCCTTTCTCACCCAAAATGAAGGCATAAAGTAAGTTCCATGGGAGCAGAGAGGCAATATCATGTCCCCAGAGCTTAGAATTGCTTTATGGATTTGTGATTTATGCTTTGAATATTCTGGTGAAAGTCCTAGTAAGAAGGAAACAGACTATTTCAAATCTCATAAACTGGTGCCTAGAAAATCATATTTAGAAACTTTATGAACCATGTATCAAAGCATTTATAGTGACATCATAACTAATTCCCTAATATCCACCCCATCCATGTTCTAAGAAGCCAACTTAAGCTACAAGTCAAACATGGATGTGATTATAAGTTAATTTGAGCTGATAAGACATATTCAGGTAAATCCTTGTTGGGACATCATTTGAGTTTTTATGAAAAAATGTCTTCAGGTAATAATTCCCAATCACCTGGTATGCTTAAACAGGAAAACATTTTACTCCTAGATTCTAATTTGGGAAGGCAAAAGTGAGGCACCTTTAGTATTTTTCCCACAATAATTTTAATTCCATCAACTGTTCTTGTAGCTGGTGAGTAGGCAAATATGCAACCTGGTCTTCAATTATCTAAAAGTCATCTCGAAGTCTAAACTGGGAAAGTCCAAATCCATTATTTGGATGGGTAGGTATTTGCAGCTGGTAAAAGATGAGGAGCTCTGTTATCATTAACTTTGAAGTCAGTTGAAGAGACAACTGGTTTAGGCTCAGAAATTCCATTTCCATCTCAGACATCTCCATATAAGATCCAAAACTCACTGCATACCTATAACGGACAGACCTGGCATTAACATCAAATACAAGCATGGCTTTACGCCTCACAGCAACTCTATGAAGCCATTAGTATCATCATTACCACTTTGCAGATGAGAAAGCAGAGGCGCCAAAGCAGATCAACAGCAAAATAATTCAATAGATCACCTCCAAAGCCTGCACCCTCACTACCATGCTTCAAAGCTTTCTTCTTGCACCTGAAGGCTCTTGACTCTTGATCAAAGAATTTACCTTTCTGTCTGTCCCACTGGTGATGATCTGGAACTCTTCAGGGTGGTAACAAACACACTGGAATAAGGTGTTAGCCAGGATCATCTGATTCCTTCTAAGGCGCCTGAAAAATCATTTCAAAAGCTGTGAAACTTGATTCTCTCCTCCCTAGAAAGCTTAGTTGTTATTCCAACTGGACTTGGGACAAACTTGGATTCAGGTTGGTTTAACTGCCCCACACATCTACGCAGCACAGCCTGCACTTCCTCTGCCCAGACACTGCCCTTCCAGCTCCTCCCACTGCACCCATCCAGGGGCACTGGGAGGATATTAGGTGAGCCCTTCTCTAAAGTCAAAACACAAGACATGGTGGGAAGGCCTCAGGCTCCAGTGAGAAGAAAGTTGGGAGACGGAACTTAAAGTAAACCTACTGTCTGCCACACAAGGTACTTTATCTTTTTGAAGCCACCGTTTTGAAGAGAATGGCCCTACAAGCCAGGCGGCAAAGTGTGGGAAGGGCTTTTTTCAATGGATATAAGGAGGCCCCAAGTCTGTCTGTATGTTTAATCATGCAGGTTGAGAGCCTCTGCTTTAGGTAAAATTCAAAAAAATAAATAAAATTTCTCTGTCCTTAAGAACTGGGAGGCTACCACATAGGCCAGGCTCCACTGGCTAAAACAAAACTCCCTTCACAGTTTCTTTTCATCAAGGGAGTTTTCAAACAAGTGAACATTTCTTTTTTTAACATTTTTTTAAATTTATTTATTCATATGGAACTGGGGTACAGGCCAGAGATGTGGAAGGTGAGAGGATTCACCAGAGACAGAGAGGGGAGCAGAACAGGCAGATCGACAAAGTACACTGCTGAGGGGAGCAGTGGGAGGGTCAGGAGAGGTCTGCCACACCATGTGGTCACCTCCGGGGCAGGCGGGAATCGAACTCATGCGGAAGTGGCCCAAGCTTCTTAGTGCTGTGCTTTAACCCGCTGCGCCACCAGGGAGGGCCACATGTGAACATTTTAAAAGAGCCTGACACAAAATAACCAAGGGTCCGTGCTCTAAGTCAGCTTTAAGGATGTGGAGTGGTCACAAACATCCATGGAAATGAGCGGAGACCAGCAGGAGGTCTGGGCAGAGGCTGACCCCCTATTCAAGCATGGCCTTTGTACCATCCCAGCAGCTGCACGAGGGACCTCGTGAGAAATGCAGGATCTCAGGGGCCACTCTAGAGCTACTGACTCAAAATCAACACTTTTAACAAGACCCCCACATCATTCCTAGGCATGAAAGTCAAGAAAAAGTTTAGGCTTTTTGTTTTGGCTTAGGTTTTCTTTCTTTTTTTTTTTTTGTTTTTTTTTTAAAGATTTATTCATTCATTCATATAGAACTGGGGTACAGGCCAGAGATGCGGAGGGTGAGAAGATTCACCAGAGACAGAGTGGGGAGCAGAACAGGCAGATCTACGAAGTACACTGCTGAGGGGAGCAGCGGGCGGGTCAGGAGAGGTTCTGCCACGCCATGTGGTCACCTCCGGGGCAGGCGGGAATCGAACTCATGCGGAAGTGGCTTTAGCTTCTCAGTGCAGTGCTTTAACCCGCTGCGCCACCAGGGAGGGCCCTTGACTTAGGTTTTCTAATGTAGTAAGTGAAAAGTGCCCTCCTTTGCCTTTAGTTCTCATTCTTTCTCTCCCATCGAGAATATTCCATACTCTTTTGCCATTTATCAATCCTTCCTCCCACCTCTATTTACTCAAGTCTCTTGAATGGAAGAATGCATGGTGAAAGGATGGGGGAATAAAGTCTAATACTAAATAAAATGCACAGCAGTAATAAAATACATAGTAAAAAAAAGTCATCCTTGAAGCTCCTTTGAATTACTCCGTGATAAGTTCATGTGCTTTAGTCTAGTTAGCTTGGAGTCAGACACCCTGCAGGCGAGTGGTATGCTCACACATTTGTAGGCCCTGAGTTGTGAGCAACTAAAAGGAAGGTCAGATTCATACCGCTCCCCTCTCCTACCCCCACCCAAGCTCCTCCTGTGCTTGACCAAACTGAGTGAGGTCACCAAAGGAACTGCATCGTTTAAGCTATTTCCCTCCTTTCTTTTGGAATACTTGAATTACATTGGTTAAATCATGCTTCACTGTGTGTGTATTTAGAAAGCTACTTTCCTGTCTATACAGAAAATTCTAAGCCCCAGCCCTTCCTGCTAACTCTGCCCACATCTCACACCCCTGCATAGTATGGACATGAATGACTTATGGTGAACATTCCTTTACTGGAGTTGTCAGGGTTTGCAAGTGCTGCTTTGTCCTCCCATCATGGTACCTACACCAGGTCCCAGATGATGCACGTCCCATCAGTGCTGGCCGTGACACACTCCTCGTTGTTCTTCTTCACCCTAATGCAGGACACGGAAGACTTGTGCTCCTTCAGGGCCTCCTCCAGCTTCTGGGTCTGGCAGCCTATCTGCCACACCCTCACCTGAGAGCCACAAACACAGGCCTTCAATGCGGGGCTTTAGACAGGAAGAAAAAAGATTGCAAGAACTTTCCTGCCTCTGCTGTGTCACATGTTCTCATCCTAGTCATCTGGGGGTGAAAACCTGGGCAGGAATCTTCTCCCATGGAGCCAGGGAAATGCTACCAGTGATGCTATGCCTGCTTCTACTTTCAGGGCTGAGCCATGTATGAGATGCCCACTTCAAAAACTGACAGTGCAAGGGCTGCTGCCCAACACGATGACCTGTGCTTATTCATTTCCACTGAGCTGCTTTCAAGTTTCTGGTGCCATCAATAAATTTCTTGGGGATCCAGAGCCATTTTAAAATTTTTGCATCAGCTGCTCAACTTTAATCATTTAAAATGAGTGGGTTTCAACCCCATCGAAGCCAATTCCTACTTTCTGTAAGAAAAACTTTCTAACAGCTCTCTACTAGCCTGAAGTAAAATTCATAGGAAATACGACTATGCACAGACAAACCTTCAAAACAGTCAATATAATGCCCTAATTTTAGTGAAATGAATGTAAAAGGAAAGCTATTGAATTATGATGTTACATCCTGTAATGGATAAGCACTCTGTTATAGCAATACTGGAAACATAATGATGCTTGCACTTTCTTACGTGAAGCTATTATAATAAATTATGGAATTTGTGAAAAACAAGGAGGACAGAAACAATTTTGTATAAGTAATATAAGACAATAAAAGAATAGTAGCCTGCGTGAAAACTATTGTTAGAGTAAGCAATAACTGACTAGCTTATCTGTACCTTCTAAGAAGCAAATAACCTTAAACCAAGTAAGGAAAATATTCTAAGACATTGTCAAAGTTTAGAAAACGAAGAAACATAAAGCTATCCCAAATGAGTCATATTCATTTCTATAGTGTTCAAATAACCCGTTATGGCATGGACTGGAGAAAGACTATCAAAGAAATTTCCAACCTTGAAATCCTACCATGTATTCACATGCTGTAATCTTCAGTGCGGGTAGAATTTAAATTATCTAACTAGTACAGTGTGGCACCAGCCAAACAGCCCCAGGACTAGAATTTTTGGTTCCTTAGTTGTGGGAGATGCTAGGGGCTAGGAGGTAGAGTGGTAGGATACGGTCTTTGCAACTCAGGGCGTGGCCATTTTCCAATGAAATGCAAGTACTTGTATATGTGGGTAACTACAGCACAGAGATCAGAGCACACAATTTGTTTTTTTCCCAAAGACCCTGAACACTGTCTTTTGGAAAGGAAGTCTGTAGTAGTTGTGTAGGCTGGGAAGAAGAGGACCATGAGAGGATGGCTGAGCAGTGCCCCCAGTGACAAGAGATGTGTGACCCCTCCAGCAACTCTCATCATCTCCAATTCAGGCACCCAGCACCCAGAATGCAGATTTGCTGACATCAAATTTGGGCATCAACAAGTCAGATGCCCCACAAGGCTGAGGGCTAAAGAGGATGCTGAGGGTGTCAGCAACAGGACACATGGAAGGGGGCGGGAGGGGGGAGTTGGAGAATGCTTAGACGGGAGCAGAATGCCTAGAATAGGGGCAAGGGGTGGGGCTGGGTGAGGGCTAGGCTCTGGAGCATCTGCAGTCTGGCCAGTCCAGGTAGAGGTGTATGCTGGATGTGAAATGCACACCAGGGTTTGAAGACTTGGTACAAAACAAAGCGTAAAATATCTCACTAGTAGGAGACTATCTTCATTTTACACACAGGAATGTGAAAGCACAGGGAGATAATGACCATATCCTGGGTCACACAGCTGGGAATTGTTGGGAGATAAAGTCTGAACGCAGTCAGTGTGACTCCAGAACCCAGACAAGGATGTGCTGGCCCAAACTCTGCTCAAGGCTACATCCAGGATGCTGTACCTTTCTTCTCCCTGCTAAGCTGTTCTTATGATTCATGGAGATGAGAAAGAAAAAAAAAATGTTCTGTCTTCATTATTAACATAACTGCTATGTCAATGAGTATTTGACTTCTCAGCGGGGCCTTCTGAAAATTTTGAAGAATGCCTCTCAGATTGCTACTATCAAGTGTAGAACATGCATATATTGATAGTCACTGAAATGTAGTTGACATATCACTAAGTTTTTAAATGGGAAAGAAAAGGTCATATTTAAGCATTTTAATATGAAGTCCAAAGTATCTTTGTAGATTAAAAAATTGTTCTAAAAATTGTTTCTATAAGACTTGTAAATCATCTGCTTTACAAGATAAAGGCAATTTGGATTCTTCACTGATTCCATACGGAAGGCTTTCATGTGTGTATCTTAAATGTCCTTTCTGTGAACACGTGTACTTATATTACCAGAACTTCAATTTATGATGTTCTTTAGGGTTTCATCAGAATTTTAACTTGCTCCTAGATGAGCTGGTGTGGTGACCTCACATGTGAGCTCCGCCTACAATACCTCTGGGGTGGAGACCCTCCTCAAGCCCAGAGATGCCAGCCATATGAGCGAGGCTTCCCCCCTTCCTAACATCAGAGCTGTGACTGGGGACCCAGGGAAAGACTGGACACCACAAAAGGAGACAAGAGGAGCTGGACCAACCAGGGGTTGTCCAGGGGTCTGTCCCCAGTGGGGTCTGCAGGGGTCTGTCCCCAGTGGGGACTGTCCCCAGTGGGGACTTCACCACTTCAGTGGCAGGGAGCTGGGTTCCCAGCACCAGAATTATATAAGACTCAGATGCAGCATCATGTGACAGTCACCAGAATGGATGACTGTGAAGGAGGAAGCATGGAGCCCAGAGACCCCACCAGACTGGAGGAAACAGGGCAATCTCCTATACCAAAGAGGCTCCAGAATCAAGAGTTTGGAGAACCACTCCACACACCTGCCCAACAAAGGGTTCCTGAGTGGCTCTGCCCCACTATCTGCCTCCCAGTCACCCTGGGGACCCGAGCAACCTGGTCTGCCGCAGTCTTCATCCAGGAGACAGACACGTTTCCATCACAAGTACAAAGCTTGTAGGGCGACCAGCTAGAGCATGTAGCAAGGGAGGAGTTGGAGTGGTCAGAGTTGGGGGTGAAGACACAGGGAGCGGGATGGAATGTGGGTGGAGAGCCACACAAAGGGAAACAGTATACAAAAATGAACAACAATGTAAGAAAAAAAAGCTTAACTTGCTCTTGCCTGACTCCTAGTACAAGGAAATATTTAAAAGTCGCATGTGTCTTCCTCTAAATCGAGGGCTTTAGAGGGCTTTAAAGATTCTGCTTTGAAGAACAATACCTCCCCTTCCCCGCCACCGCTGATGACCCTTTTGCAGTCGCTGGTGGTAGCGATGGCCGTCACTCCGATCCTGTGGGCGTTGTTAATGACATACAGCAACCGGCCTGTCTCTGGGGCAAAGGCTCGGATTTTACCATCGTTCCAGGCTGAGATGAAAGGACAACACAAGGCAGACAGGGTCAGTGTACTTACCCTCTCTCTGCAGATTTTTGTCTCCTAAAGTATAAATTCAAGTCAGAATTGGGAAGCAGTATGAGGATGGAAAGAGGCTGATCCCTCACCATCTGCCAGGAGTCACATTTTCCTGAGTTCTTAAATTGGTCACATGGTTGAGGAAAATGTGTAGTTTGCTCTAGTTGAAGCTCCAGGTACACTCCACACCACAGAAAGGTGGTTAGGGGTCAGGGGAGGAGAGAAGGAGGCCAGCTCTCACCTCTCCTATGAGCCACAAAACTTGTGCATTCTATGAGCCAGCTGATAACGGACAATTTAACATCAGCCCTCCTCCACCTCTGAGCCTGATGCGCCTTTGCCCACCCCCACCATCTTCCACCGCTCTATGCAAGTTATCACCAGCTGCAGTTGCTCAAGGCAACGACTTCAGTGTCACCCTTGATTATTCTCTACCCCACCTACCCACACCAGCCCAATATCCAACCATCCGCACATCCCGTCAGCTCTACAATTGAAAAACATCCCAAACCTGACCAGTCAGTTCTCAACCCCTCCAGTGAGATCACCTTGGCTGACAACAGTCTCTCTCTCCTGGATTATAACAACCCCCTCCTTTGCCTTAGACTCTTGCTTAGACTCTTCTAATCAGCTATCTATAAGGGATCAGGGTGAATCTCTTAAACCATACCACCTCCTTGAATCAAGAACTGTTGAAAGGTTTCCCACTACGCTTTGACTACACTTATATAAAGCCAACTCCTTTATCCTCCATAGTAACTGGTCTCTACATTGTAGGTGCCTCTTTGACCTCTTCTATTATCACTCCCCTGAGCCCAAACTTACTTATTAACCTCCAGACACACTGTCCCTCTTTCTATTCCTCAAACACACCAAGAAATTTTCCACCTCTGGGCCTTTACATTTGCTGTTCTCCCTGCTGGAATGTTCTTCCCCTAGGTCTTCATGTCACTGGCTCCTTCTCATCAGTTTTAGTGTCAGCTCTTGACCACAGCAATTTTACATAGGATACTCATCGTAGATCCCCATTTCAGCAAAGACTTGAGGAAGAAAGGGAGTAATACAGTGAGCATGGGGCTATCTGGGGAAAGAACATTCCAGATCAAAGAGTTCAGGCAAAGGCCTGTAAACAGTATATTTGAGTCATAGCAAAGCAGCAACCATGAATAGAAGGGATGAGAGGTAAAGAGACAAAGTCAGAGGTAAGAAGATAGAGGTGGTGGAGGAGAGGAAGACAGGTAGGGTCTTATAGGAAAAAACTTTTTCCTTTGCTTCTGAAGAGTAGAAGATCTTTGAGCCCTAGAGACATGATCTGATTGATACCTTTTCAAAAGAGACTTCTGACTTGAGTGAATAGACTGGGAGAGCAGGGTGGTGAGCAAGGGTAGAAGCAGGGAGACCTGGTAGTAAGCTTCTAGAAAAATCCAGGGGAGAGGAGATAGTAGTAAGAATGAGAGTAGAGAGGATGAGAAATGATAGAACCTTGGGAATACTCTGAAGTGAGCCATTGGGGTAAATGGATGTGGGGTGTAAAGCAGGGATAATGACTCATGACTTTTGACCCAAGGGTTTGTTAATTCTAAGTAATACTAGAGCTCCTGGTGACTCCTATCTGGAGAAAGCCTGCCCAAGAGAAAAGCCAACATGTAAGAGACAGAACCAAGAAAAGAGGGCTGAAATGGGCTCCTGATATCACTATTTTAATAGCTACAGCTAGAGATGCACCTGACTTCATTTAAATAAACCAGAGAATTCAGTTTTTGACCAGCAGGGAAGTTTACAGAGGGATTGAATGAAGAAAACATTGAGGAGTTATTATTTTACAGGAAGTTATTTTCAGAGATACTGGGATATTTAGATGTAGAAAATCATTTACATTTAAGTATGTTGACATAAAATTAAATTAAAAATAAGTTTTGAGGCCCTCTCTGGTGGTGCAACAGGTTAGGACACAGCACTCTGCAAGCTTGCTGTAGCTGCTTCAGTGCGAGTTCAATCCCCCACCCAGGAGCTGACCACATGTCGCGGCAAACCTCTCCTGACCTGCCCGCTGCTTCCCTCAGCAGTGTACTTCATCGATCTACCTGTTCTGCTCCCCACTCTGTCTCTGGTGAGTCCTCTCACCACTCCTGCACTTCTGGCCTGTACCCCAGTTCTGTATGAATAAGTAATTTTTTAAAAAAAATTTTTTAAAAAAACCTAAATTTTGAGACATAACTCAGTTTAAATCAGGTATTTATCTCCTGGACAACAGAAGGGGTTCTAATACAAGCTCCCTGTACTTACTAAGGTCTCAATCACCTTGTAATAGAATCACTAAGTCTCCCTGCTAGAGTGAAAGCTACATGCCATAGGCAGCAATTTGGGAGAGGAGAAATTACCATTTCTTTCATCCCAGCTCTGAAAGTCTTCTAGCTAGAAGGGAACTCCAAAGAGAGGCTAGATCAGATGTTAGGAGTGAGTGGACACTGGGAGGCTGTTCCCAGTTATCTACATGTAGAGACATGCCAAATGAGAATGACCAAAACCAAGGCCTGTATCAGAGCCTGAAGCCAAATATGGGTGTGTTGACTTTACCAGAAATGATGCTCTTGCCATCTCTCATGAAATCGATCCCATGGCAGGTCATGTTGGGCACAGTGATCCGCAACAGCTCCCTGTTTGACAGCGTGTGCCACACTCTGATGTCCTTCTTGGCACAGGTGGCAAACAGCTCATTAGTGCCACTGCAAAGAAGCCATGGAGAGAATGAGAGATACGGTGTTTCCTAGATGCATGTTTGACTAACTAACATGTCAAAGTGCAAATGCAGGGAAGAAAGCCTTCGATGCCAGTTACCTCAAGGTTGGATGTCCTTACAGATTTCTTGTGCAAAATGGCATTTGATGACTTCAGTTAATGTGTGAACAATCTTTTGTAGTCTTTTCCCCTTGGGAAGTGTTAGGATAAAATAAAGGAGATGCCCATTCATGCCCCATGTTCTTCCTCTGAGTCTCTGTGGTCTCTACAACTCAGCAGGGGAGGGGGTGGGTGGGAGAATAGTGACTGCAATAGGTTGATTTTTGAGATAATGAGATGTTCTAAAGTTAGATTAAGGTGATGGTGGCACAACTGTGTAAATGAGCAAAAACAAGCAAAAAAAAAACCCACATTAATTTACTCACTCTAAATGGGTAAACTTCATGGTATGGATTTATATGAAAAAATTCAATAAAAGGAACAGGAGTACAAAACCTGAATAAATTAATAACTACCTAGGAGATTGAAAACATAGTTACTGAAAGAGGCACCAAGGTTAAATGATTTTACAGGTTGATGCTACCAAACCACCAAGAAGAGGGAGGAAGCAAGACGAAGGGAAATGAATCAATGTTCAAGTCAAGATCCATGGAGGAGAAGCACTGGTCTGTTGACCATCAGAAATAATTGAAGGAACATAGTTACAATGACTCAGGGACTAAAAACTACATCGACTCAAAACTACATCTCATGATTCTAGGGATTAAGTTTCCTTAGTGAGCCTGGCTACCTAATGAACAGTGATGTAAATTTAAGCTAAATACTGAGGAAGTTCAGAGCAAAAGCTATCTGACCAACTTGAGTGACTCACCAAAAACAAAACCTGTTTCAGTGTCAATTACAAGCAAACTGTGACTGAAGTGAGCTCTTTTGAAACTACTGATGGTTCACTTATTTTCTATGGGATAGACTAGGAAATATAGCAACCCAGTCCAGAAGATCTATCACCACAAAGAATGCCAAATCTGGAAGACCCAAGAGAAGTCTTGAAAGTAATTTGTAAAAAAGGCACCACTAAGCTTTTCCCAGACTAGTCTTTGACCCTTTCCAGGATGGTTTTTTTGGGAAAGTCCACATTCTACAGAAGCCCAAATTTGAATTGTGAAAACTAATGTGGCTGTGTGGGGAAGGCTGTAGAACGTCTTTTAACATAATTTGCTACAATGGAAATTTTTTTTTACTTTAAAAAATATATATAATAGCTTATTTTTGTGCCTTTTCCCATCTCAGTTGTAGTCCCTGTGGGCTTCCCATCACCAACTCACCTGTTTGCCATCACCATAGTCCAGTGCACTTCCCTCCAACCCCATTTTTGATCCCATTCCCCACTCCACCCCTGTAAAATGTCTCTGGTGTATAGTTGTTCATTTTATTATTTTTCTCCCCTGGTCCTTTATGCTCCTGCTATGAGTGAAACTATCCGGTATTTTTCCTTTTCTTTCTGGCTTATTTCACTTAGCATGATCTTTTCTAGCTCCATCCATGTTGTTGCAAAAGGCATGTGCAATTTTTTTTTGTTGTTGCTGAGTACTATTCCATTGTGTATATGTACCACATCTTTTTTTTATTATTATTCGTAGAGAACTGGGGTACAGGCCAGAGATGCGGAGGGTGAGAGGATTCACCAGAGACAGAGCGGGGAGCAGAACAGGCAGATCGACCAAATACACTGCTGAGGGGAGCAGCGGGCGGGTCAGGAGAGGTCTGCCTCGACATGTGGATCTCCTCCAGGGTAGGCGGGGATCGAACTCATGCGGAAGTGGCTTTAGTTTCTTAGTGCAGTGCTTAACCCGCTGCGCCACCAGGGAGGGCCAGTACCACATCTTTTTAATCTAGTCATCCACTTTTGGGGCATTGGGGTTGATTCCATGTCTTTTACAATGTAAAATTTTCAGGAAGGAAACAATCACAATAGTATTAATACATGCTGAAAATATATGAATGAATTAAAATTTCCTTTAAAAGGGCAGAAACATTTTCCTTCTCTACTTACAATGGAAAGACAATGTCCAGGACAGCCTCAAAGTGACAAGTCGCAATGAGAGTCTCTTTGAAATCTGTGAAGGTGATACGATAAATGTGTGATTCTTCAGTTCCTACGAAAAAATGGTGTCCTTCCCCTCGAAGTGAGATAGAAGTGATGCCACCTTGTAACTGGAGCTTCCTTTAAGAAGAAGCAAAAAGTGAAGTAGATTCATGCTGTAGCGTTAGAGAGGACACATATCAGACACATGATGATCAACATGTCTTCCAGGAGGTGACACAGTGGGAAACGCAGGAGTCACTCGCAGTGTTGGTGCCCCTGGTGAGTAAAGGAAGAAGCCAGGGAGGGTACCAGAGCCACAGAAGCTGCATCAGAGATACAGTCTGAAGTGGACCATGCAACAAAAGCAGGGTATGGGTAGATCATTCCAGACAGGCATATGGGAACAAATAAGCCTCGCAATTAAATACTTTGCTAATTCTATTTCTTGGGAATGATCCCCAAATCAGGGAGGGGAAACCTTTATTTCAAGTGCTATTATTCTGACCTTTCTTAAAAGAGTGAAAAGTTGGAAACAATATAAATATTCAGTTGCAATGAATTGTTACATGACCTCCAGGCCAGCAATTAAGCAATATTGGCAAATTGCAATTATGTGCCCAGCCATTAAAGCCAAGTTTAAAAGCCTTTATAGTATTGAGTTTTTAGGAAAGTTGTGATGTATTTTTTCTATATTTTTTAAGCAAAAATGCTTCATGACTTTCCCGATTAACCAGATATATATGTATCTTGTCATAATAACAGAAAGAGGTTATATAGTAATGTTGAAAATGTTTATAATGTGTACATTAAGGAAATGATTGGAATATAAAATGTAAGTATAGTTATTTTAAGTGAATAATAGAGACAGGAAGAAATAAAATATTAATCGTCTCTCTCTTCATCGGAACTTAGATTATGTTATATTCAACTTTTCAGGTCCTCCTGATCCCCAAACACACACACACACACACACACACACACACATCTAAACAAATTCAGCCTCACTCTGTGACTAATTTAGTTTTGATAATTTAGTTTAAGAATTCAGTGGGAGTTGTGGCGTGTGGTAAATATTTTGAGAAAGATTCCTTTCTTGGTGGTACATAGAGCAATTAGTGAAGAAAGGAAAAACCCCAAGTCATATCTCAGTTGTTTTACTAACTAAAGACTGTTTACTTAGCTACAGAATAATCCTTTAGATAGTTGCTGTGAAGATTAGAGAGAATAGAAGTAACACACATCAGCTGTAGATGCCAGCCAATAACACCGGCTAGGGCATCTGGATGAAGCCAGGGTGAAAGGGGCAAGGCCAAACATCTCTGATGTGCTGTGGGCTGTTCCATGTGCACTTAATATCTTTCTAGTCACCATGACTCCCCGTGTGAGCTACCCTCTCGTCTACTAAGATTATCAGTCTCCTAGGAGACAGAAGTAACTGCATTCATGGGAGACCATGTGCTCATACAAGGTTATTTGGAGACATATATGGCACAAATTTTATAATCATTGCTTTGCATCTAATTATTACAATAGGAACAGTGGTGTATTAAAAACAAGGGTTGAAATAGCAGGCTACTTTTCTACACTTCCACATATCCAGAATCTGCCCAACACCAAAGTTGCCTCCCTCCCTTATTTTCCTTCATTCAAATACAAAACTGGTCCAATATATTCTCACTAAGACTTATATTTATTTATGCATACAAGAACTAGGGTATAGGCAAGAGGTGCAAGGGGTAAGTGGACTTACCAGAAACAGAGGGGGGAGCAGAACAGGCAGATGGATTGAAATACACTGCTGAGGGGAGCAGTGGGTAGGACAGGAGAGGTCTGCTGTGTCATGAGGGTCAGCACCGTGGCTGGGGATTGAACTCATAATGCAGTGGCTACAATAGCTTCATAATGCCGAGACTTAACTGCTTGCACCACCAGGGAGGCCCTACTCTGATTGAGCACTGGGATTTAAATTTCAGCCTGTCTCTTCTCCTGCTTCAAACTCTCATCCTATTTACAGTACACGTTATTCCACTAGTTACTACTGTACCAACACCCTTTAATATTGTATACTTATTTTCTTTAATCATATATAGTCTTTCTCATCCTGCTAGAATGTAAGTTCCATGAGAGCAGGAATTCTTTTTTTTTTTCTTGTCTTTTTCTTGATTTATGCATTAACAGATCCCAAATACCTAGAGTTGCTCCTGATACTTAGACTGAATGAAGACAGCTGATGCACATTGCTATATGCATAGATAATGCCCTCTGGGTCCCTCAGAGCTATCAGAGGCTACATGGAATGTGTGTGCTAAAGGTGTCTGGCTATTGTTGGACTTAAGTTCAAGTTCTTCCTCTGCTCCTCTGTAAAGTACCTTTCCTGACTTCCCCACCCCAGCAAGGGATTACTCCCTTTTCTGATTTTCTCTACAACAATGAGGTTTGTGCTTACACATTATGTTATTTTCTAGTGGTCATCTCATATATCTTATTTCCTAACCCTAACCAAGAGTGTACATTCTGGGAGACAAAGGATTCTATTTTATTATTCTTTAGTTTCTTAACAGCAGCTAGCACACTGGTTTGGATGGAGGGGGTACTTATTTAACAACTGTTAATGACAATGTAGAAGATATTATTTCATTTATTTAATTAGATAAGCCATGAAAAGCATACCGCACTGTGTCTGGCACATAGAGATAGCTGTGACTACTGGTTATTTGCATTAAATCTTGTGTTCAAATGCATTAACGCCAAGCTTGAGTACCTAACACTACGCTATTGCATAATATTATCATTGAAGAAACTGACATTGAAAGTTTAAAGAAATTTATAACAGCACATGTCCTATGACATGGTTCAATGTATTTGCTAAGTAATAACTGACACATTTGTGCACTTATTAGAAGGGCAGTATCCATAGGGGACTACTTTGGCTTGATGCAACGCAGCTCAATGTCATTTCACTGGCAAAGAATCACCATCTATTATGATTCCAACTACTCACTCAACAGCAGGATGAGTTCTTTAATTTAAATACCATGCTGCCAGTATTACTCAGTCGCTGGCTTTAGCAAACCTCCTTCTGCTGAGTGTCACTCCATCCCATCCCTGACGGACCTAAAACTTACTTGATAGGTTTATAGCTGGGGCTTTTACAGAAGACCAGCAAGCCAGCTCCAGAGCCCACCAACAAACCTCCCATCTTCAGGGACTTGACAGCTGACACTCCCTAGCGGAAAAAAGCAGCATTAAGGAAAATGTCAAATGATTTAATCATAAAGAATCAGTGTATGACATGGCACAATAAGCACAACCAAGCCCATGAGTGTCACCACACTGGAATTTTACTTAAAAGAACCTAAAAAAGCATTGCTTCTGATGACCCCCCAGGCAGTGTCAACAATAAGTTGATTCAGAAAATAGCTCTTCAGTTCTTAAAAGATGCAACTTGCTTCAACAAACTTCTTCCCTTTAAAGCCACCTGTGCATTTTGACTATATCAAAAATTCACACTGTTTTGGCCCTCCGTGGTGGCGCAGCGGGTTAAAGTGCATCACTGTGAAGCTAGAGGAGGCCGCTTTGGTGCAAGTGAGATTCTTGCCTGGAGGTGATCCACATGGCATGGCAGACCTCTCCTGTCTCACCTGCTGCTCCCCTCAGCAGTGTACTTCATTGATCTGCCTGTTCTGCTCCCCACTCTGACTATGGTGAATTCTCTCACCACCCCTGCACCTTTGGCCTGTACGCCAGTTCTGTATGCATAAATAAATAAATCTTAAAAAAAATAAATCTTAAAAAATATTCACACTTTTACATTCACTACAATTCACTTAGAACAAAAGACATAAGCACAGGTACAATAATATTAATTCCTATATTTTGAAGGTGTTAAAAAAAATAAAAGGTATGGTATGGTTTTGGTTTCCCAAACACCTAGGAGTGTCTTTGTCCTGATTATAAATCAGGAATGAAGGCTCAGAGAACTAGTCATTGCACCTTACAATTTTAGACAAGTTCTTGGGTACATCACAGACTTTTTCTTTGTTTCACAGACTCTTCTAACAAATGTCTGTGCTGGCACTGGAGGGAAGAAATCACTAGGAAACAGCAGGGCAGAGCAAACTTGATGGTCTCTACTCACCAGACTATATTTGTCCTTCATAGGTCCAGTGTCGGCCAGCAATTTGGTCCTAGGGTTCATTTTTAGAATGTCTCCAGTCGTGGTACCAAGGTAGAAAAAGCTGTCATCATTGGACATCTGGGGATCAGAAAGAAAATACACCTGAAGACATGGGATTCCTCAACGATGCCTAGTAGCTCCAGATCAGGCATGGAATGGGCTTTCTCTGAAATCACAAGAAGGTCCAGAAACGTGCTCAAGGCTACTTCTATGTTCTAGGACTCCCAGATGGGTAAGAACAGTTCTGAGGACCCAAACACAGAACATGAGGAAATGTTAGGTTTCAATTAGCCTGTATCTACCTGTGACTGATGTTTGTTCCAACTTCTGAGAACCCTTCCAAGGACCCCAAGGAAGAAGGTGTGCTGCTCCAAAGAGAACATACATTTACTTTGTCTCATACTTTCCAGTGTTTATATTCACTAACTGACTAAACAGAAGGAACAAGTAAATGGAGAATAGAATTAAACATGTGAATTCACATTAAAAATTTATGAACAATTTCTCTTTATGGAAGAGACTGTATTTCCACAATGAATTTCATTATTAGAAACTTTAGTTCCAGTGGCAGGAATACCATGAGTGGCATGAGGACATTTTGTGGGCTCTGAATACTTGCTGACTCCATAGCTTCCCTGCAAGAGAGGCAGGTTGCCCAGGGCCCAGCAAACCAAAACCCACCCAGAATTGTATCCAGGCATCTCTTCTTTGGCTTCTGAAGGGAATTCCAGAAGTCACACTCTCTCACACCTGTACCTCCTCAATCAATAGGTCATATATGTCCTGACCCCACTTCCTACCCACAGCCCAAGGTTCACACACCCATACACACTCCTGGGGCAGGACTGTTAACAGGAACTTGTACTAATAGTTACTTAAAGTAATACTTACAGTGATACTCATGACTATACGCTTCATCTGCCCAGTTTGACACTCAGTAGGCCAGATTTTCCTATTTGGGAGATCCAGTTCCCAAACTCGAATTGTCCCACTGTAGAAAAGAAATTCACAATCAAATGGATACCCACTTAGGGAATTGCCAATTTCCAGTATTGCCAAGTTGACTGACACATTTGGTCATTGTTGTAAACAAACAAGTCAGTAGCAAGATTCTTGTCAAGAGGTTTGATGTTAGTGTTGAACTTTTTTTTTTTAAAGATTTATTTATTTATTCATATAGAACTGGGGTACAGGCCAGAGATGCAGAGGGTGAGAGGATTCACCAGAGACAGAGAGGAGAGCAGAACAGGCAGATAGCTGAAGTACACTGCTGAGGGGAGCAGTGGGCGGGTCAGGAGAGGTCTGCTGCGCCATGTGGATCTCCTCCAGGGCAGGCGGGGATCGAACTCATGTGGAAGTGGCTTAAGTTTCTTAGTGCTGTGCTTCAACCCTCTGCACCACCAGGGATGGCCAGTGTTGAACATTTTAAACACTCTAAGGAGCTGAAGTACTTTTTGACATTTGTGAGCGAAAATGGTACTTGGGTTCAATTAAAGCACCTGCTAGCTTTACCTAGAGAGTCACACTTTGTGAGAACTAATGGAGAGGAGACTGAGTGGTTGGAACCCACACTTTATGAATTCAAGGCATGATAAGTGTGAATAAAAATAAACAACTTCAGGACTATTTAAAAAATATACCCATTAGTAACCATTTCATCTCTTCTTTGCTTTCTATTATTTTGAAGGAGATGAGATTAGAACTTTTGAGGATATGGTAAGGTCCAAGGTTCTATCTCTGATCTTCCATTTGATCCTCACCACTATCCTATAAAGGAGAGGTCATGATCACTTTTGAAATGTGAAAATGAATAGTCTACATGCAGGAGAACAAGAATCCATGCTCTCCTTTCTAGTTTTGAAACAAATATTCTACACACTGAAGCAAAAACAGACAAATACAAAAATTTGCAATTAAACACTTTAGAGGCAAGATAGAGTTCATTAAGTTTTGTTTTGTTCAAGTTATTGAGTTGCAAGGATATTTTTCAAAGAAAGTACTTCATCATGTCTCCACGGAAGAAGAAATAAGGCTAAGCAACTAAAAGGCAAACAAAACCAGTAACTCATACAAGAATTGGCATATAGTTGGTAGTCATTGTCTCTTGTGTTAACCTAAATGAATAATATTATATAAAAATGGCAAAGCCAACATCACAATAGTTTCTCACAATAGAGAGTAACTTAAAATATATATATATTGATCAAGTTCAGTCTTCTTTTTTTTTTGACCCACAGAACAATATACCAAGTAAGTGTTCATTAGCTGTTTTAAAGGTACTTTCTAAATTTAAAACAATCAGTTTTTCTATAGCTTTCCTGGTACATGTAAATGGGATGGGGTATTGGAATTTGCAGGTATATAATGGAATACCTAAAATTAGGACCATGATGATGAATTCAGTTACATGGGAGCCATACCAGAAATCTTACTTAAGAGTGCTAACTTTTTCTCAGCTATCAATGGCATATGAAATTAAAGCCTAGATATAAATTGTCTTGTTTAAATTCAAGTTTTGATTCCTGAAGAAACACCATACCTGGCTATCCGAATGGGTGAGTCTCTGTTGCTTAAACAACAGAAGCAGGAAGACCCCGTAAAACAAACCATCCTGGAACTGAAGGGCTTTAAGACCTTAAGGACTGGTGGTCTCTGAAGATGGGGAGGACACGACCATGTGCTTTAGGATTAGAGTACTGTCCTAATACATTTCCCCACTGATCATTTTGTTTCATAGCCTCTGAATAATAGATCTGCACATTTATGAGATGACTTGTAAGTAGATCTGCACATTTATGAGATGACTTGATCAAGTCTTGGAGTCCACCTGACACCTGTTTCTCTCACTCCACACCTGATCACTCAGAAAGTTTAACTTTAGTCAAGACTCTACCATGCAGAAGCTCTGGTGGTATCTCACCACCTTCACCATGCCTTTGGGTCAAGGCTTCCATTGTTTCTTTCCTGGACCATCACAATTGCCTCTTACTGGTCATAGATGGATTTTTAACTACCAAATTGTGGAAAGATATTTCTCCAAGATATTTCCCCCAAATCAGAATGATTTCTGCACAAGCCAACACAGTGAGTCCTGAGCAGCCTGGCCTCAGACACTTACTTTCCAGCAGTGACGAACATCTCATCACGGCACTTGGAGAAAATGACGGTGGTGGCGTTCCCCACGTTGAGGCCCGCGGCCGGGCTGCCACAGATGGCTTCTCTCTTGGCGATGCTCCACACCACCACGCTGCCAAAAGGAGAGGGACCAGGGGAGTCAGAGGAAACCTTGGCTTTCAGCATAAGAAGCAGTTCTAAAAAGAATGTGGCACCACATTGTTATGCAAAGAGTGAGATCTTCCTGTATGTCCCCTCCATCAAGATGCCCCTGCTTCAGGAAAGCTGCTTGTTTCAGAACATGGATAGTAAAGTAATTTTTTAAATTACTTTAATTTTTTATATATATTTTACATCATCATTTTTGTACAATGAATGCTTTCTCCTCTCAGGTATTGTCCCTGTACTGTATTAAGGTAATTTTAATGATAGAAAGTGTCATAAGTAGGTTACTCTAGACATCAGCATTGTGAACATTTCAACAGGTCATTCCAGTATGTGCCCAAGTTGAGAACAATTGCTTTAAGCTGAGCTGGGAATGTGAACAGATGATTTCTGGATACATTTCTTTCAAATAGACAAAGGGGACCAGTTCCAGGAAAGGTATGATACAGGAAGGGATGACTCTTAAAGGAGGAAATTTCATGTAGATTTTGCTGATTCACACTATGATGAGAGGAATAAATATACCAATACAAATGAATGTAAATTTCCTTTGTAATAAACCTGTGACACTCAAACAAGGACATATCCATACAAGTGCACAAAGTTTTAAACCTCAGGTGTTGTTATTTTCTTCCACAGACATGTTCCTTTAGCATTTACATAGGGATATGGACTGCATTGTTCTCCCCAATGCAATCTTTTAAGTACCCACCTTCCCCACCCCCTCACCCCTGCCATTTCTTTTTTAAAAGAAAGATTTTTATTTATTTATACATATAAGAACTGGGGTGTAGGCCAGAAGTGCAGGTGATAAGAGGATTCACCAGACAGAGCAGGGAGCAGAACAGGCAGATCAACTGAAATACACTGCTGAGGGGCACCGTGAACGGGTCAGGAGAGGTCTGCTGCACCATGAGAGCTAACTCCCTGGCCAGGGTTCAAACTCATGCTGCAGTGGCTGGCAACAGCTTGATAGCACTGAGACTAACCCCGTACCACCAGAAAGACCTTTCCTCAATTTCATTTATATGTAATTTTCTGCCTGCCAAATTTAACTGTGAGTTCTAGAGGGTAAAGATCACATCTTGGCAAGTTAAATACATGGTATTTGAATTCACGCTGCCAGAGGTTGTTTCCCAGCTCTGCTTCTTAGCAGCTGTGACTTTGACTCTCATCTGTTATACAGCCTCAACAGTGCATGTCTCCTGGAGCTGCTGTGAAGCTTAAATGAGATAATGCAGTTAAAACATTCGACACACACCTGTCACACAGTAAATGTTCAAAAATTAGCTATTGTCTTTGATTACAATGATGATGATGATAATCTCATCATCATTCTTTTATAGCAACAATTCTCAAATTCAGTTGCACGTAAAATCACCTGGGAAGTTTCTGTAATTCCTAAAACCTAGGTCAATCAAATTGAAGTCTGTTAGAATCAGGCATTTGGTAATTTTCTAAAATGTGCCAATAGGTTTCAGGGCTTAGGATAAGAACCACCCTCAATTCTAGTGTTTTCCACATAGGTTTTGCACATGATGTGCATTCAAATTCAGAGGGGTCAATGGAGGATATTAAGAGAAGAGAGCATGCCTGGTGGAAAATAAGTAAAGATATTTTGTTCATTACCTTCCATCATCTGGGCCGCCAAGTGATACCAAGTACAGGTCATTTGGTGAAAAGGCCAGAGCCTCAATTTTGCCCTTGTGAAGTGATAGTCGAGCAATCAGCTCCCTTTTCGTATAATCCCACAAAATGATATCTGCCTGAGGGAAAAATACACTGTCAGAGCCTAGACAGGCTTCAAAGGAATGTGAGGAACTAGGACTGCTCTCAGGAAAAACTCTCAGCACTGTCACTTTTCTAGATATTAGAAAATGTCTTACAAACATGAGAGCAATACAACAGAAGCAGTGTTAAGCAGGGACTTTTGCTCCCGAGCATCATCCCTTACTAGTTGCAACAGTTGGTGTAAAAACAGTAGATGTCTTCACTCTCTCTGAAGGAATTAGTTCAAAGAGCACTTGAAAGGATGAAGGGTGGAGACGTAGCTGCACAGGGCTAAGCTGCAATGAGAAGGTTTTCCGGGAGACACAGGGAAATCAATAGCCAAAGACTTATTTTCGATTTTTCACCTTGAATCCCATGAATGTGACTTGTCCCGAGGCAATGTAAGTTCCTCTTGCAGAAATGGCCACACAGGAGACATTGTTGCCGTGACCATGTAGAAAATTCTGGTCTAGGGTATTTATTGACTGAATGAGGATTGTGCAACCCAGAGGGTAAATCAGATGCTCCTCATCAGGATGACATTTCAGGCCTGCTGGCACATGTCCTAAAAGAGAGACATTAAAAATTATCATACTCGCAATTCTTTAAAAAATTTTTTTATTCAGGGCCCTCCCTGGTGTTGCAGCGGGTTAAAGCACAGCACTGAGAAGCTAAAAGCCACTTCCGCATGAGTTCGATCCCCGCCTACCCCAGGGGAGATCCACATGTCGAGGCAGACCTCTCCTGACCTGCCTGCTGCTCCCCTCAGCAGTGTACTTCGTCGATCTGCCTGTTCTGCTCTCCTCTCTGTCTCTGGTGAATCCTTTCACCCTCCACATCTCTGGCCTGTACCCCAGTTCCATATGAATAAATAAATCTTTAAAAAAAAGAAAAAAAATTTTTTTTATTCATTCATGCATACAGAATTGGGGTATAGGCCAGAAGACCAGAGGTGGTGAGAGGATTCACTAAACACAGATTGGGGAGCTGAGCAGGTAAATTGATGAAGTATACTGCTGAGGGGAGCAGCAGGCAAGACTGGAGAGGTTTATTGTGCCATGTGGATGGCCTCTGGGGCTTGGGATAGAACTCACACTGAGGCAGCTGTGGCTAGCTTGCAATGCTGTGCTCTAACCCATTGCACCACCAGAGGGTTTTTTTTTTTTTTAATTTTTAAGTACAAAAGAGGATGCTTTTTAGACTAGGCCTTACTTCAACTAAAGTAAGTGGGGGGGGTGGTCATCTGTAATTTCTTTTCACTGACAAGAAGGTAGTGAAATAGAGATACACTGGATTACTAGTAGTCTTGTACATCTCTTCTCAGACTTGAATATGTATAAAATCCCTAGGAGATTTGATTAAAATTCACATTCTGACTTTAGGTCTGAATTAAAAACTTCTGGAGGCAAAAGACAAAATAAAAAGAAAAACCCAAAACCAGGAGAAGACATTTGCAATGTATTTAACAAAAAATGTATCTAGAATATGCAAAAAAACCATTACCAAATGACAAAAAAAACCCCCAAAAAACAGCCCAACAGACAAATTTGCAAAGTATAGGAACAGACAATTTGTGAAGGAAAAATTCTAAAGTCAATAAACATATAAAAGTATATGCAACTTTACAAGTAATGGGGGGGGGGCAAATTATATTCGAAACAAGATACCATTCTACCAGGAATCTGAGGTTTGAAATTTAGCTCAAAAATTTTTTTTCCTCTCCATAGTTCTTTTTTTTTTTTTTACCAATTTAATTATTTTAATAAAAACTAAATCTTCACAATTTCAATAAGCAATTTAGAAATTTTTCCAATCAACCAACAAGCATCCTTTATAGCCTACTAGTTCATCCAAAATTAACCAAAGGGATATAGAGATGGGAATAAACAAGCGAAAAGACATTAAACAGCATTAGCCAATAAAGATATGCAAGTTAAACCTACAATTAGATATTACTACATAGGGGTCGGGATAGCAGAAAAAAAAAAATAGTGACAACACCAAATAGTGGTGCAGAGAAACTATGTTACTCATACATTGCTCGTAGGTGGTAGGAATATAAAGTAGTACAACCACGCTGGAAATAGCTTGGCGGTTGTCATAAAATTATACCTGTAATTAGCATGTACTCCAGCAATTGTACCCTTTGGCATTCATTCCAGAGAAGTGAAATCTGAAGTTTACATGAATGAATGTTCATAGCAGCTTTATTCATGAGAGCTACAGGTAAAAACAATCCAAATGTTCAACAGGTAAATAAAAAAGGTGGTACGTCCATACATAAAAAACTATTTGGCAACAAAAAGAAACAATTGCTATATAGATAAATCGTGGCTGAATCTCCAGGGAACTAAGTCGAGTGAAAATAGTCACTCCAAATGTAAACAGTGTGTGATTCCATTTCTGTAACTTTCTCCAAATGACAAAATTAAAGAGATGAACAGCTCAGTGGTTGCCAGGGGTCACAGGAGTGGGAGGTAGGAGTAAAGAAGAAGAATTCCATCGTAGTTATGAGAAAGGATCATTAGGTTTGTAGCACTGTCCAGTGGTCTTGACAATGGGTGACTACACAAATATACATGCAAAAAAATTGCAGAGAATTAGATATAAATGACACAAGTGAGTTCATGTAAAATTGGTGGAATCTGTGCAAGCCTCGTAGATTAGATTTATATTGATTTCCTGGTTTATGTTGCAAGATGTTAACACTGGGGGAAGCTGGGTGACGGGTACTGGGATCTTCTATGTATTGTTTCTTATCACTGCTTGTGACTCTATAATAATTTCAAAATTAATCTTTTAAAAAAATGAATCTAGATAACTCTTGTCTAGATAACTGTGCATCCTCACTGGAGTATATTTTAAGGAAAAAGGAAAAAACACAAAACAGATGTACACAAAATTTATCCGAAGGGACAAAGTTAAAGAATGAAAATATTTAGCTATGCTGGTGAATTTTATAGCATTTGAAAATGAATGCAGAAAGGAAATTATGTTAACTGCTTAATAACAGGGAAGTTTTAAAATTATGGCATATCTACACAATTGAATACCATATTAAAATATTGTATGAAAATTAAGTCATAGTTTATACTTTTGGCTAATGAACAATTACATGATAGACTGTAAGTAGGGAAAACTCTGAGCATAAAAGAATATATACAGTATTAATATGCTTTTGTTAAAAACCACATATATGCAAGTATACCTTTGAAAGAATCATATACCTTTGAAAGAATCACACTAGAAGTTAAGTGATATCTTTGGGACATATAAATGCTTGATTTTCTTTTGTGTTCGTGGTAGTTTTCCAATTTTCTGAACTCTTTTAAGTATGACTATGGGTTTACTTCTGTTATTCTCAATGCAGGGCAAATATACATTTGACTATATAAAGAAATACAAACTGTTTTCTTGACTATATGAAAAAATGTAAACTGTCACAAAAGCAAGGGCAAAGACAATTTAATTAATTTGGGTTACTTGAAAAGTCCAAGATAATTAGTAATTGTCGAGGACAACCCATATATAACTGACTCTATATTTGTCCTTTTAACTCTACAAAACAGTATGAATTCAGTTGCAGGGCTTTAAAGGTGAGGCTATGTGTGTTCACTAGTGTGAACCTTTGTACTAGCTACAGGCCACTCCTTTCTTCTACCAAAGATCTTATAATCAGCTTTAAAGATGTAGCTCAGAGGTACTCAGTTACCCACTTTGTATCAGAGACTACTGAAGTAAACACAGATAAGAGTCAGTCTAAGAAAGTGCTTAAACTTTAGTCACTCATTATTCTGCATCTACATTATTACACTTTAAAGCTTTCAAGCATCACAAAGTAATTTTTACAAGACTGCTTTTTCTAAAAATTTAACCTATCTTCTTTAATCCTTATGAAGAAAACCAGTCATTTCACCATAACGTTCAAAACAGTATGCAGCCGCAATAAGAATTGAGTGGAAGGACCAGGCCTCCTGATTAAAGCATCTCTCCTCTCCAGCTCCCTCTAGTGTCCTCTTCTACCATGACCTGAATTTCTCACCGTTAAAGCTCGGGTAGCGAATATAAAAAGATCATTCTCCAAAAAAGTTGCTTAAGCACACGTCCCCTTCCTATTCCTTCCTCCTTAATACACCAGCTGGGATTTTAGATGCCAATCAGTATCATATGTTAGTCACCGAGAGCACTGGGGTAACTTTGGGGGCTGCGTGGAATTAAAGTCAGGGGGAGGGCTGACTAGTGGGATAAGGGCTAACTAGCGTCTTACTCATTCTTTAGACCCGGTGAGGAGGCATGTGGTTCCTTTAAATACTGTAAAAATCCGTCCCACCCCCTGATACTTGGAGTAAGAAAGCGACTTTTAGTATCTGGGGCAGGAGGGCTGTCTAGCATCCTCGTGCTGGGCCCTAGCCAGGGCTCACGCCAGCGTCCGGGACCACTCAGCTTTCCAGGAGCCACCCGCGCCTCACTTTCCCTGTATGCATCACCCGCCCCTGGTATTCTTAAACTACCCGGCTCAGATATGCTCGAGGTCTCACCATTGAAGCCGATCACAGCTTCAAGTTCCAGCTCAGCTACGTCGGTCTTCGGGGAAATTTGGTCTCCCATCACCAGGAGATTCTTTCCTCTCTGCCTCCAGCGATGCAGCGTCTTCTGGTCGTTATGGTAACGGACATGCGCATGCGCGCTAAGTCCACGCCCTCCAGAGAGGCGAGAGGGTTTTTTTCCCCCTTTCTCTTTCTTTGTAAATTTAAGGGTGTACCAAATTCCCTGCCCCCATTCGGTAAAGAGTCTGACTCTTCTGGTAACTATATAATCAAGCATAATAAATAACTTACATTTAAAAATTAATGAGAGAACTTCCTCGGATGGAAGGTTTCTATAAAGTAATAATTGGTAATGTGGGTCCCTTGTTTGAAGCGGGACTAAAAAAAGTTTTTCAAACTTTACTGAGGTAAAATTCACATATTTTATTTCTGCAACTATCACCACAATCCCATCTTTTGTTTGTTGTTTTGGTTTTAAGCAGGATCAAATTTTAAGTAATTGCTAGGGGTCTTGAGGCGCTCACTTTCTTAGACTTCATCAGCAACAATTTCGTTTTAATTGCACCAAAATGTTCGCGTCTCTTAGCTGGAGTAGATCGCGTCAACTGAATGTAGTCGGGGTAAGTGTTTTCCTTTTTTAAAATCATGGTTTTGCAGCCTTAATGTGTAACTTCAAGTTCCAGGCGCGCGCGGGCTGACCCGCGGCGTATGAGCCCCGCCGGCCGCCGTAGTCAGCTGCTGCAAGCAGGAAGTGTCCGGGGAGCGGGCGGAGACTGCAGGATGGCACCGGACCCCTGGTGAGCCCCGGGTGAGGGTCACTGCGCGCGGAGAGTCCCTGAGGGACACCGGGCTTCCGAGGAGCTGGTGATCCTTAGGCTTAGAAGCTGGAGGCCTTTCGGGTTGAGGGAATGGCCGATGGGGACCCTATCCTTGCTGAGGAGGAGGGGTGCGCAGGTGGGTGGAGGGGACCTCTGCTACATCCCACTATCCTCCTTGCAGGGGTGACCCGGCAGGAGAGCGGGTGGACCTATGGGGAGCGAGGACTAGTGCCCATCCTCTAACGTTCCTCCTGAGCAGCGTCTCGTCTCGGGTATTTCCCGCTCATCCCGATTGTGAAGTAGGCTGATGCGGGCTTCCTGGAGCCTGTGAAAGTGAAGTAACCCGTGAACCCCGTGCTTCTCTGAGAAACCAAGGTTTACGAACCAGCCAGTTCGTAATTTGTTGACTCTAGACCTTACGGGCCCTTCAAAACTTATAGGAATCTGAATGGGAAATTATGTATTTGTTTCTAAGGCGTTTTACTCTCACCAGGTGCGGCAGCAACTTACACGCAGTAAAACAGTAGCTGATAACAGTAATTTATTCAGCAGTTAACATCCAAAGATTGAATGGTGAAAGATAGAAGTTCTGATCTCCGGGAACATAGTCCTATAACATATAGGACTGTAAGTTCTTGTTGGAGTGTGTGTATTATGTTGTGATTTGTAATATAATTTATGATTGTTTAAGTTGCAGACAGTATGGGTAACAGGAGAATGGATTGCACGATTAAAGTTAGCCCTGCTTGGCATCTAGGTTATCTGAGCCAATGGCTTAACTGATTGAACACTAATTTTAACAATAACATACACTTTGAAAGAAAATCTAATTTTAACAATAACATACACTTTGAAAGAAAATCTACAAAGTGTTTACAGAGAAAGAAGAAACCTAAAATCTTTTTAATGCTATCATTTGGAAAAATAACCATTATTGATTTCTAAAATGAATGTATGACTTTAGTCTGTGTTATGTATACTATATACATGTACGTTTTATAAAACAGGGAATAGTTTTCTATAGTGTTGAATATTTACTGAAGTCAATTTTTTGTGTATAATGTAGTACATGATACAAATGACCATAATTTAATTATTTCCCTCTTTGTAATATTAGGGTTTTTTTTTTTAATATTGCAAAGACTGCCCTTCTGTTCCATTTTATTTCCTCAGCTAGCTTCTCTGAAGTAGAACTACTGGGTCGCTGGGAAGGGAAATTTTTATGGCCTTTGGTACCTACTGATTGCTAAGTGAGTCCTATTATACTTACCACCCACTTTCTATAATTTTCAACATTTTGTGTGCCTTTCTTATTTCATCACTGCTCTCTATACCTCTTTTTTTTTTTTTTTTTTTGCATTGAAGAACTAGGGTATAGGCCAGAGATGGGGAGGGTAAGAGGATTTACCAGAGTCAGAGTTGGTAGCAGAACAGGTAGACTACTGAAATACACTGCTGAGGGGAGCAGCAGTCAAGAGAGGAGAGGTCTGCTGTGCCATTTTTGGATTGGCTCCCTGGCTGGGGATCAACTCAGGTCTTAGTGGTGACAGTACTGAGACTTAACCCCCAGGCCATCAGGGAGGCACCCTTCTTATACTGCATACATTTTAAAGTAAATCTTATACAAATATCAGTTGAACTGTACACTCTGATTTGTACTAGTACAGAGGTCTAATTCAGTCAGGTTTCTTCTTTGATGCTCCTCTTTCTTATTTCTTGGGTCTCCTTCATGGTTTCTTATCTTAGTCACTGGGTCTGAAAACTGCTCATCTGCTTTTTCTTCATTCCTCATATTATTCACTGATCCTCTTTGGGATTGTCTTTTAACTATCTCTGATATCTCTCTTTTGCTATCCATTTGCACTACAGTTCAATCCTTTATAGCCTCGTGTTTTAAGGCGTGAATTGAATAGCTGGCAAGTCTTCTGTTGATCTCTTGCCACTCTTCCTTCATTCCCAACTATTGATATAAATGAGTTCAAATTATTTTTCCTAAACCAGTAGTTTGGATGTTGTATGCTGGATACCATGCTGAGGTCTGATTCCCCTTAGACCAGTGGTTCACACACTACTACAGATTGGAATCACCTGGGAGCTTTCAAAACTCATGTCCAGGTCAAATCACATGCCAGAGTTACCAGAATGCTTGGGAGTGGGAGCTCAGAATTTTTTCTTTTCTTTTCTTTCTTTCTTTTTTTTTTTTTTTTGAGGATATGGTAAATAAAGTTTCGGAACTACTGCTCAAAGTGAGAACATGAGGATGGGGTGGGGGCCAAGATCCTTGGGGTTTTGTCCTATGTGCCCTTCAAAGTTCACCTGACCTGTTTAAGGCCTCACTTCATGTGTAAATGTATCCCCTACAGATTTAAAATTCTCTTACAACTCTGATCTTATGGGCTGGTGTTTAAGATATTGTAGAAACTAGCTTCTACTCCTTTATCATGTTATACTTTGCTCTCCTGCCCACTGCCACCTTTCAGCTGAACTTCAGGCACATTTTATTCTTTTCATCTTTCCCTATGTCAGGAGTGTGCTCCTCCCTCTGCTGTTGGTAAGAGGGTCTGCTAACCTTGTGACTTAGTCCAAGAGGTAACTTGTCAGGCCCGAGTGCCTCCAGATGTCCTCACCATTTATACAGTACATTTGGCAGGAGGTGTATTGTATATTCCTGATTTACATATGTGTGGTCTGGTGCCACAGCCAGACTTAAGCTCTTCTTTTCACAGATGACAATATGGAGGAGATGGAGGAGAAATGGGGAAATGTGGCCAAGCTGGAATCAGGACCCAATTCTCCTTCTTAGTCTCCTTCCTGTTTTCTTGACTACTCTTTAGCAACAGACCTGGTAGGAAAGAGAAAATGTACATATATGCTTTAAGTATTTTTCTATAAAACATAGGAAAAGGAAGTAAAAATAAAGGACTATTTGGAATTAGCTGTGAATCCTACAAAGCCCCCAACACTTTTGAGTAACAAATAGAGGATCCATATTGCTTTGAAAACATTCAGGTAAGCTTAGATACCAGGTGAATGCATGTTGTTTGTCCCCGGGACATTTGGTTGTGGAATACACAGCTCTTGCAGCTTCTGTTCCTTGAGGCTTTTCTCTAGAAAGTGTGGCTGGCTTCCTTGCCTTGCCTGCCACCCTGCTCTGGGAAGCTTTGTGCTGCTGAACTATTCTACTGACAGCTTTTCTATTGTTCCAGTACAAAATATTGAAAACTGTTGTTTGGCCAATTGTTCCAATTTTTGCTTGAAAAAAATAAACAATACAGGTCTTAAAATCTGCTTTATTTTTCTTTTTAGCATTTACTGACACCTGATATACTCTGTATATGCTTCTTTTATGCCTTTCTCCTGTCCTTAAACTCCTTGAAAGCAGGAACTTTGTCCATTTTGTTCACTGCTATACTCTCCAGTACCTGGCGTAGCTCTCAGTATGGAGGGGCCCTCCATCAACAATGAATGTCAAACACATTCACTGTCAGAATTGCCGAGTTGTTCAGCATGCAGGCTATGAGGCAGATAGCGTTGGTTTGCATCTGGTAGTACCACTTGGGCAAGTCACTATGCCTCTTGGTGCATGTGAGTTGGAGATGGTAATGGTACCCACCTCCTAGTGTTCTTGTGTGGAGTTAGTGAATCTGTGTGAAGCACTCAGTATAGAACCTGGCTCCAAGCAAGTACCATTCAACACTATTGATTTGGTCCCTATGGCTGTTACTCTTATCCTCCCTGTTTCAATCTGTGACTAGAATTAAAACTCAAACTTAGGTAATACAGAAATTTTTTTAAAGACTGTTAAACAGTTTTCTCCTCTTAATGACTTGGGCACAGGTTTTCCACATATGATTCTACTTGCCAAATCGCACAGGACATTGCTGAGAAAATTCAAGAACGAATTCGGTATGAAAGGAATGGTGAAAGTACAACCAAGGTAAGACCAGGGGCAAATTAATACTTCAAGTAATTTGAGTTTTGAAAACTGAAAACCTTCCTATTTTGGAGGGGGTGTGTATGCAATAACATACATGCTTTCGTGTGTTGAATTGACATGATAGGCAACCAGTAAATATTGACCTTTTTTTCACATTAATTGCAACACATGTGAATGCCCTCTTGGACTAAAAATTATTACTTACAGATTTTTATTAAGTATTGTTATAAAGTATATGCTTTTATTTATTACATAAATACTGCTTTGGCATTAGGATAGTAGGATCAGAGGTTCTGTTCCCTCCTTTAGCCTCCCTTGGCTCCTTCCCTAGTCTCAGAAACCTTGTTATGGTTATGGTCAACAGTGTCCAATAGTTTATAATTATATTATTCTGTCTGTTTCTACACTTTGAGTCCTCATTTTACTCATATGTATCCAATACTTGTCTTTATCTTTCTGACTTACTTGCTATGCATAATTCCACTGGGCCCTTCCATTTGTATTTCATCTTTCCTTACAGCTGGATCATATCACATTGTGTGGCTGCCATCGTACCTTCTTTATCCATTTGTTATAGTGGGCACTTAGATGGCTTCCAGATTCTAGCTATTGTAAATAATGCTGCAATCAGTATTGTGGAGCATAGATTTTTTGAGTTGATGGTCTTGTATCTTTGGATAGATACTCAAAAATGGGTTGCTGGATCATGTTGCTGTATTTCCATTTTTAGTTTTTTAAGGTGAGGTCAGACTGTTTTCTGAAGTGACTGTACCAGTTTATGTTTCCATGATAGGTCTTTTTAGTGTATGTTTATTCTCATATTATGGAATGATAGCTCATTGGAGATAATCAATTGGTGATGAACATATTTTCATACATCTTGGCCTTCTGTGTATCCGTTTTGGTAAATTGCCTTTTCAGATCTGTTTTTTTTTTTTTTTTTTAATTGGGCTGCTTGATTTTTTTGTTCAGTTGAGTATGTTCTTTGTCCTTCCTTGGATATTAACCCCTTGTCAGTTGTGTGGTATATAAATGAGTATCTTCTCTCATTTAGTAGGATGTTTTTTAATTTACTAGTATTTTCTTTTGCTTTGTAGAGGTCTTTTACTTTCAGGCAGTTCCAATTGTTTATTTTGCTTTTATTTCCCTTGCTGTAGGGGTTGAATCTTCAAAGATAACTCTATGATGTCTTTCAGGATATCTCGAAATGTATTATTGATAATTTCTCCGGTGCATTTTATTGTTACTAGTCTTATATCTAAATCTTTAAAACACCTTGAATTTACTTTGGGGCACTGAAATGGAGTAATTCAGCTTTTAAGTGTGTCTGTCCAGTTTTCCTAGCACATTTATTAAAGGGACTGTCCTTTTTCCATGATTGTGGCTTGTTTGTCATAAACTAAGTATTGATAAATGTGTGGATTCATTTCTGGGCTCTTGATTCTACTCCATTGATTTGTGTGGGTTGTATGTCTTTTTTTATTCCAGTGCCATATTTAACTACTTTTGTTTTATGATATGGTTTAAAATTAGGTCTATGATTCCTCCCTTTTCTTTTTTCTTCTCAGGATTACTTTAGCTGTTCAGGGTGTTTTAGCTTCCATATAAATTTTGGTATTTTTGATTCTATTTTCTTGAAGAATATCATTGGAGTTTTAACAGGGGTTGCATAGATGTTGCTTTTGGCAAAATAGTCATTTTGACTATACTAATCATCCCCATTCTTGAGCATGGACTGTCGTTTGTTTACACCTCTTTATGTCTTGTTCTATAACTTTTAATAGTGTCTTAGTGTTTTTGTTGTGTAAGTACATCACTTCCTTAGTTAGATTAATTCTTAGGCATTAATCTTTTTGGTGTTATTGTAAATGTAATTACTTTCTTGATTTCTTTTTTTTTTCCTTTGTATATATAACTGCAACAAGTTTTGTATAGTAATTTTGTAACCAGATACATTACTATATTATTAATATTTCTAATAGCTTTTTTTGGTGGAGTCTTCAGAGTTTTTATACATAATACTGTATCTTCAAGTAATGATAGTTTCAATTTTTCCTAATCTGAATTCTTTTTATTTCTTGTCTGATTGCTGTAGCTAAAACCTCTAAAACTATATTAAACAGATAGTGGGCATCTTTGCCTTGTTTTTAATCTTGTGTAGAAAGCTTTCAGTTTTTAATGTTAAGGATACTGTTGGCTGTAGGTTTGTGATTTATGGCCTTTATTATGTTGAGGTAGGTAACTCTCCCTATCTTATTAAGAATTTTATCATAAATGGGTACTTTATCTTATCAAATGCTTTCTTGCATGTACTGAGCAAATGGGCTTTATTCTTTTGTTGATGTAGTATATTATGTTAATTGATTTATGTATGTTAAAACATCTTTTTGCATCCCTGGAGTAAATCCCACTTGGTCATGGTATATGATCTTTGTAATGTGTTGCTGAATTTGATTTACAAATATTCTACTGAGAATTTTTGCATCAACATTCAATAGGGATTTGGCCTATAGTTTTCTCTTTTTTGTATGCTGTTATTGTTTGGTTTTGGCATTAGGGTAATGTCATTATAGACTATGTTAAGAAGTAACCTTCTTCTATTTATTGAAAAAATTTCAGTAAAGTGGGCATAAATTCTTTCTTAAAGCTTTGATGGGCGTCTCTGGTGGCACTCTTCCCCTCAGCAGTGTATTTCAGTGGCTCTGCCTGTTCTGCTCCCCACTCTGCCTCTGGTGAATCCTCTTGACCCTGGCACCTCTGATTTGTACCCTAATTCTTGCATGCATAAGTAAATAAATCTTTAAAAAAAGAAATAAAAGTTTGGTTAATTCATTTGTAAAAGCATCTAGCCTCAAGCTTTTGTTTTTGGGGAGAATTTTGATTACTATGTCTCTAATTGTGATTGTGATGTAATTTTAATAATTTCTTCTATTAAGTTTCAAATGGTTTAGAAGTAATATTAAATTGTTTATTTGGGATTTTTCTTGCTTCTTGCAGACCTGTATTGCTGTTAACTTTCCTCTTAAAACCCTTTTGCCGCATCCTATAAAGTTCTGACAACTTGTGTCCTTGTTTCACTAGACTCTAAGCATTTTAAAATTTCTGCTTTAATTTCTTCTTTAATCCAGTGGTTCTTGAGCAGCATGTTGTTTAATCTCCATGTGTTTTAGACTC